CAAAATATCACTGCGTTAAAGAATTTTCCTATCAGAGAGCTTAAAAGAAAAAATCACTAGCTTGTCAGTGACGAAAAAAGTTTGGAGAAAAGAAATAAAGGTATACAGAAAAAAATCAAATTTTCACTTAGCTTTGGACGAATCTGCTCCCGTTTTCAACAAAAAAACGGATATTTGAAAATTAAATTCTTATTTGTCTTGACACTTTTCAGTTCTCAGTGACAATTGGTGACGTTGGCAATCAATATTAGTTAATGAAAACATCCTGTAACTCATTTGATTGCCAACGTCACTGAGAACTGAAAAGTGTCAAGACAAATACGAATTTAGTTTTCAAATATCCATTTTTATGTCGAAAACGGGAGCAGATTCGTTCCCGAAACGTCCAAAGCTAAGTGGTATTATTCTATATACCTTTACTTCTCTTCTCCAAAGTTGTTTCAATACTAATTGTCACTGACAAGCTAGTGAATTTTTCTTTCAGGCTCTCTGATCTGGGATGATGAATATACCACCTCCTCGATCAACCTACAGACAGTATTCATATACCAAAATAGTATATATGAAGGGTAATTGCCAAAAGGTTTTGTTTTTTTGACAACACCAAAAATTAACAGGTTTTTAAAAAAGGGGTTCCTCATGCCCTTATGAAAGCGCTACTAAAAGAAAACATCGATAAAATAGGGCAAACAGCCTGCACGTATTTAAATGTTTTGTCCTTTGACATTGGCTTTGACTTATGTTCACGTCATTATTTGACATAATTTTCAGTGTTTTATAACCCCATTAGTTAAGATTTTTCGACCATGGGCATTGACAACAATTTCACAATTAGTAGCATCTTATTTTTTCAACTCCAAGTAAGTAAAGAACAAATTATGTATTTCACATCAATCTTTTTGTATTGTTGGTAAGTAAATATAAGGGTGGATTTTTTTGATGGATAAACCTGTACCTTATCATAACCCAGCGAGCACAAACATCCCTGGGATGTTTCGAAAATGTTGGCATGAAGATGTTATTTTGAGACGTAATAATATGCACTGACCAAAGAGGTCTTTGAAGGATATTGAAGTATTGTTTTTGTTCTTCTGTGGCATTTCTCTGTTTGCCTACTGAGAGGTATCCCTGGGATGTTTTGGGATGTTTTAGAAATGTAGGCATGAGGATGTTTTTTTGAGGCGTAATATGCACTTCCCAAAGAGGTCTTAGAAGGATATTGAAAGTATTGTTTTTGTTCTTTTGTGCCCTTTCTTTGTTTGCCCCACCACAACGTCTCATGCTTACGTCACAATACGATGAATTCTGATTTGTTTTCGATTTTGTTCTTCTTGTTCGCAATTGGCATTATGATTGGCATTCGCGTTTGCAGCGTGTCACTCTTACATCACGCTGCTAACGAACAGAAAGGAATTTGGTGGAGTTTATTATGTTAGAAGACTTATTTAGTTTGTAATAATGACCATCAGATGCAAGATGTGTTGTTCGGTGCCTCAGTGTAATCAATATATAAAAGTACGAATTTATCAATACACAGCTTCTCCGCAGTTGCAAAATTATGCATTGTGGAGAACATTTCAAAAATTCGGAAACCTATTTCCAATTATATGTCTGTGTGTAGTAAGCACTACTCAGAAACCGATTAAGAAGGTAATTTCATATCAAGAAAATATTTTTATGTTCAATCTATTTTTAATTCATTTTTTCATTCAAGGGAAATGGAATCCTAATGCAAAAGTTCATTTTGACAAAAGGCTTCAGAAAAGTACCTCGAAAATGGTTTTTTTACAGCGATTTAATGTGCGCAAGACACGTTGAAAATGTTTCGTTGTGTCCATGAAAAGGCTTCAAAGAGAACTAGGGAGAAGGTATAGTTTTGTGACATATCAAGGACATATCGATAATTGCCACCTGCGGCGGACATTGGCTGTTCTATAATAGTTCTATTCATGTGTGAACAGAACATCGCAGTGGAGGTTCAAAGTCTCGAAATCTCGTACCAACTTTTAACATCTCTGAGATGTTTTTGTGCTCGCTGGGAATAATATGATCTGAAAAAGTAGTTCCTAACCACACATTTGTATTAGGGAGGGAGGCACAAAAGCGCTAAAATTTCTAATCCGGGCCTGATGCTCTGATCACTTCTTCTTCTCACGGACGATGACCATTCTGATGTCACCGAGGTCATCGACGTACCGAAACGCCAGTATTTCGGATATTTTATAGGCCCTCAAGATAATATTCTATACGATGAACTTCATTGAGAGTTAGTATCCACAGTATGGTAGTATTCACAGTATCGTACTATAACGATTATACAGGGTGACCCATAAGTCATGAATCTAGAGGAGTGGGGTGGTAGAGTAGGTCATTTGCAATCAAACTAACGGTATATGTGGTCAGCAAATTGTTAATGCTTCGAAATTTATTTAATTTTTGAAAAACTAATAACAAAAAGGCTGTTTTGAATAATCTCATATATTATACCATTTCGGAATCTGAATTAAATGACAACTTTTTCTCATAATTGGTTATTATCTTCGTAAGGTAGTTTTTAAATTCGCCAGCGACATCGGGGTATTACTAGATGATAACCTGCGATACGAGAAACATATAAACAAATCAATTCAGCGTGCATATTCATCATTGAAAATGATATATGGTAACCGGCACTTTCTTTCAATCAAATTGAAATCTATCCTTTGTTCACACCCTGGTTCTACCCTCTTCAATTACGCGGATTCCTTGTATGGTCATGCTTAACTAGTCAATACATTCAAAAAATACAGAAAGTACAAAACTCATGTTTGCGACTTATATACGGAATTCGAAAATATATCACATAAGCTTCGTGAAATTGGCTGGCTGAGCATGAAGAATAGATGGATCCATCATGCTGCTAATTTATTTCACAAAATATTATCAACCAAGACACCACCATACGTATTTAAAAAAGTAACGCACCGCAGTGATGTTCACACCTTGAATATCAGGTTCAAAGGTACTTTAACACCACCCAAATTTAGAACGGAACAATTCAAGAGATCATTTAGCTACCAGATTTGTGAAATCCATAACTCACTTCCCAATGATATAAGGCATGTAAAATCACAGAAATTCAAAAGAAAACTCAGGGATTATTTGTTTGACAACCAGTAATGAGGTGGCCGTGCCCGCTCCACTTCATTCTAACACTTTCAACACTATTCGCACATCCAGAAGTTCAAAAAAAAATTCCAATACCTACCTCCTGTCCCTATCCTCCCTAGGAACGCACGATGTTCTTTGAACATTATAGGGATTCCCTTTCGTGCGCTCCAAGCGATAAAAAAAAATTTTCAGATACGACCTTTTCGCTTAGCAGGGCAGTATAAAAAAGTAGGTCTAATAGTGCCCGAAATATATAATTTATAAGTGATATATCATGTTTTGAACCAAGTTTTGAGCGGTTTCTTACCTACCTCTTTCGATATTCTTTTGTATTTCTTGATATTGAATTTGCAGGGAATGAGAAGGGAGAAGGAGAAGGCGTGGGATCTGTTCAAGTGAACAGGTCCATCTTCTACTTCCTCCCCCTTTTCCCGTTCACACAAGTTTTAATGAATAAGATATACAATAGGCCGCACTACCTCTATTGTTAGGAACCAGAAAAACCCTTGATTCACTAAAAAAAAAGTTGTGTCAAGAACAAGAACCGTCCCTGACTAGAAAGGGTGAATACCATTCGATTATCTCCCGCATATTGTTTCGATTACGATGACCGATAATTGGTATTCTGGTTCTGGTATGGAGAACGAATAAGATTCTTTTGTGTGAGACGGTCACAGATCGTGGCAATTCGAGGGGGATGATACTTTTACTTGTTGCTCGTTACAGTCGCTGCCGACTCGCATCCGCGGTATCAAAAGAGAAAAATACGCTTCAGATACTTTAATCGAACAGGGTTGCCAAGCCCAATTCAAAGCAATCCAAAACCATGGACGTCCAATAAGGATAGTATCTACCTATCTCTACCAATTCTTCTTGAAAGTGGACTTCAAGCAGAATATTCCAAAGTTCTCAATAAAAATAGGTACCTACTTCAAATATCAAATACTGACTAGTTACTTCTTCAAGAAGCATCTGGTCTGGTATTAAATAGATAGTTAGATAGATAGAAAGATAGTTTATTCATTTCAACAGTGTACAAGATCTGAGTAAAACGTCAAAATACAGAGTACTTGAAAGAGTATCGAGACAAGCAAAACATTAGGTAAAATACAGACAAGAAATAATATGACGAAGTACTTACTTAAACAGTATACATATATATATATATATATATATATAAAAATCATTAATGATAATAAACATTAAATAATAATAATAATAATAATAAATACACTTGTTGGCAACAAAATAATCATCGACACAATAAGGTTCCATTTCAATTAAATATTTTTTGAGTGATCGCAATAGGCTTCTAGAGTTCCCAATGGTTTTTATTTCATTGGGAATAATATTGAAAAACTTTATTGAGTTGTATAGTGGGCCTCTCTCAAACATTTTTATGTATGGGGTAGCTATAATCATATTTGAACCTAGTTCTGTGAAAAGTAGTCTTTTTATAGTTGTCCAAGTACTCTTTATGCTTAAGTAAATAAGTTATTGATTCCAAAATAAAATTTGCAGGCACTGTTAATATGTTGTTTGATTTGAAAATTCCTCTACATGACTCATCATAGGTGAAACCAAATATTATTCTTACAACCTTTTCTCGCATTTAAAAATGTTTTTTAAATTGGAACAACCTCCCCACGTTGCAATACCGAATTTGATTCTAGAAAAAAAGTTAGCATAATATACCGAAAGCAGAACATTTGTATTTACATTTGGTTTCAGAACTCTAATTGCATACGTTATTGAAGACAATTTGTTGCATAGTTTTTCCACCTAAATAATGTTCCATACAGTGGTAATTCTTCAACAATAGCAATTCATTAAAAATAATTATTTTCCAGGTCTATGAGATACCTGTAGCTTCACCTAATCGGAAAACTATGCAGGAAGGACAAGAGGAAAAATTACCAGGTGCAGTGATGAGCTACGATCGCAAAAAAAAGAATGCTGGTCAAAGCATGGATTTCCGCACACTAAGTATAAAGTGCTTACAGCTATTTCCAGTTGCCTTGAAACATTCATCATATACTTATAATCGCCATACAGGAGGCCTTGGTAAGTTATTAGTTATTGCCTACTCTTGTAATATCTAATAAAATCGCAAACGCGAAATACTGAGCCATTCTCCTTTCATTATTAATATTTGAAGGGTGATTTTTGTGTTCTGTGTTAAGTACGAATGGTTGGCACTTATTAGTAGAGATACATGGTCTGTACTCATTTTTCATACTCCTGAGATGAAGGGTGATGCTAATCATTTAAATGCACGCATGTGTGGGAAAAATACGAGATAAGTACTTTTTACTTTGTACGTGTATATATAGGTGAGTGCATTCTTAATAGTCGAGCACAATTTGTTTAGAAAGTACCTGAGGAGCTGCTTTTGATCAAGTGTTACTTTTTTCTGTAATAGGGTTTCATTGAATGATCGTAACTTTGTAGAATCTTGATGAGTTCTGAAATGAAGGACTGATTTTTATGAATTGAAAATAGGTCGATTTGACATTTTCAATTTAGCTATAAACAGAAATAAAAATTTTCTGGAAATATGTTTTCAGTTTGAAGGTTTCAATGGATTCTTCATGAACATTTCGCTCAACTCCTTACATGAATCTGATTTCATCATATATCGCTATATATAATTGGGCATGATGTTATGGGATAAGTTAGGATTCTAATTTTGCAAAAAATAGGAGGTGGCCCAGAATAGTTAATGAAAGGATAATTCGAAGAGCCCATTTTACATATATCAAAAGGCTCCAACAGATTCAAATATTTAGATATTTGTTGATGAAATTCTGGGAACCCCTGTATATATACTTTCGGACCCTTCGTATGAGAAATACACCAACTACAATAACTGTTTCACAATCATTTTCAGACCCCTGCTATAGGTATTATTTGAATTTGACAAGAAGATTTTAAGTCATATTTTTACTATCATATCTGCCAATTACATCATCACCATTATCATCAATTACATCTGTTTCCCAATGGTTTATCTACAATCTACATATACCGGGTGTACCACTAAGAAAGGACGCCGGCTGTATCTCGGAAACTATTTGCCGCACAGGTTTCGAAAAAAAAATATGGATGATGAAAGTACCCAAGATAAATTATTTTCAAGTTTCCAGGACAGCCCCTAGAGGGCGTAATTGCACTGGCCAGTTCAATACACGGGTTTTTATGAAAATTTGATATATCAAGACATATCAAAAACACTTTTTTCATATTCTCGAGTTCATTTCCAATCATTTCGATCAAAAAAAATTGCGCTAGCTCTTTAAATGAAAAAGGCAGGGAAGGATGAATAGTACTTTGAAAAAACTCTCATTACTACAGTTTGGTGTAACGGAATTCAACGATCTTGGTCTCATTATAAAGGTTTTTTTTTGTTCTTCCAGATGAATCACATATCAAGTCGATTTAAATCCTGTGGTGGCCGCTAGATGGCATCGTTTGAAAAATCTGACAATTTTCCATTTTTTTCGAATATTTCAAATGGGACCATATATTCATTCTACTCTAATATGAGTAGAGCAAACGAGAAGAAAACTGGTGAAAACCGCGAATTGATACCTCTTGAGGAACCGGTGAAATACTTGAAATAATATTATGAAAATATTCACAACAGGAATCTAACTTCAATAATCGTAATCAGAAATATCCTGCATCTATGAAATTATGATTTCAATAATTCATTTATTTTGGTTTCACAAACTGCTGTTATATCTCACAATAGTGAAGGAGACTCTTAGTAATGACATAGCTAATTGAAATGTAAGTAGTGAGTAGGTATAGGCTCAGGAATGAGAAAAGGCAAGTTGGCTTTCAATGAAAGACACGTCAAAATATATTTGAAGTTCCATTGGAAGTTTTCACTGTGGATTGCTTATTTGTCGTAATGTCGATAACGAATGAGGAGGCATTTGACATGCTAACAGTTTAAATTTTAATATTATTCCGAGTATTTCTCCGGTTCTTCAAGAGGTATCAACTCGCGGTTTTCACCATTTTCCTTCTCGTTTACTTCACTTCCATATCATAGCCGGAAAAATATATTGTTCCATTTGAAAATCTCGAAAAAAAAATGGCAAATCGGCTGATTTTTCAAACGATGCCATCTAGCGGCCACCACGGGATTTAAATCGACTTGATTCGTCCAAGACGACCAAGATCGCTTAATTCCGTTGCACCAAACTGTAATAATAAGAGTTTCTCCAGAGTACTATTCATCCTTCCCTTCCTCTTTTGTTCAAAGAGCTAGCGCAATTTTTTTGAACGAAATGATTGGAAATCAACTCGAGAACATGGAATAAGTGTTTCTGATATGTCTTGATATATCAAATTTTCATAAAAACCCGTTTTTTAAGTTGGCTAATGCATTTATACCCTCTAGCGGCTGTCCTTGAAACTTGAAAATAATTTCCAGAAATTTTTCTTGACCACTTTTATCATAAATATTTTTTTCTGGAACCTGTGCGGCAGATGGTTTCCGAAATACAGCCGGCGTCCTTCCTTATATAGTGGTACACCCGGTACATTTTCTCATATATGACAATAAGTAGTAGTAAATGACATTTTTCACGAACGTGAACATATCTTTTATCTCCAAAAATCATACTCTTATTGTTGATCTAATAAGATCATAAGTGTTAATGTCACAGAAGCATCAAAATCGATTTCATTCATACATAATTAATTAGTAATCTCAAATCAATACAAGAATGAAGCAAGTTGAAAATAAACTTATTTTCTAGGTTCACAAGAAATGAAAATGGTTTAGTGGTGGAAATCAAAGATGGAAGATATAGTGCAAATTTTTGTCGGCAATTTTATACATTGTACGGAGCGACTCAAATTACAGGTGGTAGAAAATGGGTTCATTATTGTGAAAGGAAGAAAGGTAGGTGATGATCTAACAATTCGTCTTGACTATGTCTATAAAATGCATTAATTCAAAGTGATAGAAAATAGTTGAGTATATTGTGTTCTTGCTATGAAGCCATTCAATAAAAAGTGGTAAAGCTATTAATATCTATATTCGTTCGCGTATAAGTAAAGGATATTGTTTTCCAGCTATGGAGACATTTTTCCAGGAAAAATGCACTGTAGCTATGAACTGGTCAAAAATAAAAGTCTACCCCTTGATGAAAGTGAAAATCTTAATGGGGTTTTTAGTTGAAGACTTCTCAAAAGTCATAAACGATTCGAAAATAAAATTAGGTTAAAACTGCATTTAGCATGCGATGGGTTTTTTTTCGAAATTTTTTTTTGGAACTTACGTATTTTTGTCTGAAAAACACGAATTTGATGATGAAAATGTGAACAAACCATTATTTATCAAGATATTTCACTATAAAGTTACAAATTTCACCTTCTTTTCCGCCTGTCTCCTGGATTGCATTTAAAACAATTTACCCTTCTTTTTTCATCATTGGACAATTTATATATATCACAATGTAACACACATTTTTTTCTCTAGAAATATGTTTTTCTTGTGATTTATCCATATTTAGTGAAAAGAAGGAAGAATATCATTTAAAATAATGGCGTGTGTAATGTCATTCAAAAGCACTCTGTTGACAAGTGACATCTCGTATTTGGATTTACTATTGATTAAATGACCGTCATCTGGTATGCTTGTTCACTAAATATGAGAAACTCGCCACAAAAATCATATTTCCTGTTGAATTTTCTGTATAAAAATGTGTCATTGAAATACATCATGAGTATATAAAGTGTCCAATGACAAAATAAGAAGAGCAAGTACCTTTAAATGCATCCAACACAAGGGGAAGAAGAAGTCGAAATTCCGAACTTTTCTTTGGAATATCTGGATAAATAGTGGTTTGTTCACAATATCATTGTCAAATTCGTGTTTTTCAGACAAAAATACGTAAGTACCAAAAAAATTTTTCGAAAAAAACCCCATCGCATGGTAAATGCAGTTTTGCCAAAATTAGTTCACATGAAAACTGGACTTATGTATGCATGAAATTGTATCTAAAAAATTCACGTCATGCCATCAGTTACTCAGAATATTTTGTAACATAATTATTTGACATCGATAACCCTAACCAGGTAAATCGGTTAAAATCGGCATCTTCTTATTCGATATTAGACGATTACAATAACCTTTTACACAAAGTACTCTGTGAAAGTTGCTACCGTAACTAAATTTGAATTCTCTAGATTTTTTGAATTTTCTCTCCTTTTCCCTATAGATGAAAATACTAGAATTATTTCAATACCTACCTACCTATAGTAAAAACATATCAGATGATTTGCGGGAAGGTGTCACTGCATTTAAAATGTTCCTATTCGAAACCTAAGGGAAAAATTCAATCGATAGTCAGTGACATCTTCTTTGAAAGAAGTTTGGATAAGATAAATATAGGTGTAGGTATTGAAGAATATATAAAATTTTACTAATTCAGGAAGAAAAGAACCAGGGTGGCTGAGGTGGATCTCTAGGGTGGTATACCTAATAGTTCGGTGCTAAGACTGCTAATGGTAATTTTCGTGATGTTATATTAATCTCATCATATTCCATTCTCATTTTTCATTGTATATAATTGATTGCTGCAATTCATATTTCCGGCAAAAATGACTTGCTATATGAAAAAATCAGTGTTATTGTTTCTCATCAAGTTTTGATTTGGGTAGAACTGGTAGAAGAAACTATGAGAACAGGATTATTCAATTTGCATTTATTGATTCATAAATAATGTATGAAATATCGGAAATCCATCATTGTATCACTAGAATTGAACCACCAATACCAATTTCCGCAATGATTCCTGCAATGCCAGGACAAATTGCGACTGCTGTTCAAAATAATGTCATATAGTACGTTATAGGCACTCAGGTAATTTTATTGCAATTTTTGGATATTTGCGAACTGCAGCGGCTCTTATAATTTCAATTTTCTTGTTTTTTTACTTGTTGACTTTATTTTTCCTATGAAAAAAAATTTAAAAAATGTATGTGTTGTTAAGCTCTGTGGAGGGGGGGGTATAATTACCCCCTCTACCCCTCCCCACTACTGTTTTAGGTGTCAGCACCATCTCTTCTTCCTATGATCATTCCATTGCAAAATATACAGTGTGATCCACTTCTAATGGAATCACCCCTGTATCTTACGTAATCGTTGGGTAAGGATCCTGAAATTTGCTGGAGCGAGAGATATACCAAAAATGCACTCTATGACCAAGTGGGGTCATCTTCAGTGATATACACTGCTCGCCAACAGCCATGAAACTACCCCAATTTCCGGAAAATGATATTAGGAGTCAAAATAGGTCGAAAATCACTTCAGATTTGGAATCAGGACGCCCAATTTACTAACTATTCAAATTTTTCCTGGAAAATTTTCAGTTCGGAAAAATGAAATTTTGTCGCATTTTTTATGGAAGCACGCCCGTATCTCACGTAATTATTGAGGTAGGGTTCTGAAATTTGCCGGAGGAAGAGAAAGTCCAAAGATGAAGTCAATTACGTGAGATACGGGGGTGCTTCCATGAAAAATGCGATCATTTTCCGGAAATTGGGGTAGTTTCATGGCTGTTGGCGAGCAGTGTATATCACTGAAGATGACCCCACTTGGTCATAGAGTGCATTTTTGGTATATCTCTCGCTCCAGCAAATTTCAGGATCCTTACCCAACGATTACGTAAGATACAGGGGTGGTTCCATTAGAAGTGGGTCACACTGTATGTTATGTTGTCCATTTTCAGTGGGAGGCTTATTTTGATTTGTCGATATGTATTTTCTTCATATTGTATAGGTATAATTCGCCTGTACTGGGAGAAGTCTCTTTAGTCTTTGTTACACCTGTATAATACTTTCCACAAACATAAGCTATACTGTACACAGGGTGTGAATGAATTATAACGAAAAAACATAGGGGTGATTACTTGGCATTTTATGGAAATTAGTGAACTGGTATTTATTGAACACGAGGCAAAAATCCGAGGGGTTGTTCCAAGGACTACTAAGAATATTTAGTCATTTATACAGCTGGGGTGTTTCAACATTTTTCTATCTTGATTCCAGTGGCTTTCTTCCGGGTCAGAAATATTTTTTTTTTCATAAATATGTGTTGGCAAACGCTTCGTTATCTACAGAGCGTTGAAGTTTCAAGATTTCCACAATTTTTGTTACATTTTATACAAACAATAAACTTTTCAACCTCAACTTTGTCGATAAGACCTATATCTTCTGACAATAAAATATATTTTGATTTGATTTTTCCTTATTTTTATATATTTACAGTGTGTTCATTTTTGGATGCTTTTGCGCGATATATCAGTTATCTTCGGAGATAGAGTGTTTCGGTTGTCATATTACTGCCTTACTTTTTTGTGAAACGAACAATGCCGCAATAATATTTTTCCAGACGTTAAGCCCTTTTTTTTTAAATAAATTTTTTGTGGTGCGCCGTTGGTGAATATTGAAATACGAAATTATTTCCATTTTCTTTTTAGATACTTTTTTGTCTCCTGCAATTTTCACGGATCTGCGACCGTTAGTGAGAAAAAAGTAATTTTCTTGTAATTCGCTCGTTTTACAATGGAAGGAAGGAATGCTCGAAGTCATCTCCACAAATTTTAAAGGTGTTGTTACACAATCATAAGGGACATGTTTCGGTCTTATAAAAGACCATCTTCAGCCTAATTGAAAGTTCTTCAATACAAAAAGATTGAAGTGAAAGAATTACATAATTTGTTCTTGACTTATAGGTACTTGGAGTTGAACAAAATGTGATTCTACTAGTTGTGGAATTGTTGTCAATGTCCATAGTCGGAAAAATGAAGGGTAATTGCCAAAAGCCTTTGTTTTTGACAACACCATAAATTAACGGTTATTTTAAAAGGGGTTCCCCGTGCCCTTATGGAAGCGCTACTAGAAAAAATTATCAATAAAAATGATGGGGCAAACAGCCAGCACGTGTTTAAATCTAAACTGATGGGGTTAGAAAACACTGAAAATAATGTTAAATAATGACGTAGACAAGACGTTGACATAAGTCGAAGTCAATGTCAAGAGACAAAACATGAAATTCCGACAATGAGTATACGTATGTAACAATAGCTGGTGATACAAATACTTGAAGAATGTGGAGGTAGGAGGGGGGGATGCATGTAGGGGAGAGTTGAGCAAACCTGAAGACCATTGACTCCACTTCGAACAAAATGAACTTCTACCAAAGATTCGCTAGTTTTGATCAAAATTTTTGACAAAAAAGTCTATATAGCAAGGAAAGGGCTTGACCCTTGAAAACATTCCCCCTGACATAAAACCCTAAAACGTAAACTGAGAGAGCTATAAAGAAAAAGATAAAACAATATTGAAACTATAACGCTCTGTGGATCGAAAAAAGTCTTATAAGTATTTTGGCATGAAAAATAATCTTCTGAAATTTTAATTGTATTTGACAACAATCTGTTTAAATATTTAATATTTGTCACAACATTAGCTCCGTTTTCTAGATACTGGGTATACATGTTTTGATGATAGTTCATTGCTCATAAGTCTGATTCAATTTCAATAAAACTTGATGGTTTCGTTGGCTGAAACATATGGAGTTTTGTTTGGTAATTTTCCAAATTTTTATGTATGTTTGCCTTCGCCCATTGAGATTACTCAATAACCTCAATAAGTATCATTCTGAATTTTTTAGTTTCATTGTCATTCACCAAACAGACTGAATAATTTTGTCACCGCATGTAAGCATATACAGGCCAGATACAGGGGGGTCATAAAAAAAACAATACTTCCATCTTCAACATCCTGTGTCTCAAATACAAAACAAAGTAAGACACATGTTCATATTTTCATTCATTTGTTTACACTCATTCACAACCTATATACAATGTTTTGATGTATAGGTATACTATATTTTTATTGATAGAGATAGAGTTGGGAATTTGAAACTATTTCATCTTTTTAGATTGTGGCAACAGGCAAAAAGGCAGACTTGAACAGCACAAAGGCTAGACTGGATTTGAAAGATGGAGCAGATGAAAAGATACTTACAGGTTCCCAGATCTTGATTCCTGGTTTTGTAGATACACATATCCACGCTCCCCAGTATCCCAATTGTGGTCTGGGTTACGACAAACCCTTATTAGAGTGGCTGGAAACATATACCTACAAAGTGGAGAAGATATACCGCGATCAAGAATTGTCAAGAAGAGTTTTCGACGCTGTGGTGGTAAGTACTCAACATGATAGCTAACCACTGAAGCTAACGCTGTTAGCTTGAAATATCATCACGAATTCTGCAGATATACAGGGTGTCCCAAAATTGCTGGGACACAGAGCTACTACGTGTAATACAAGTCAAGATAAGTTGATTGGACCCAATTTATTTATATAACAAAATGTAACCGTTTGTCCGTGAGAACACAGTTCGGAAATGAGCGAAACAAATCTAATGAAATTTGACAAAGGTGCATTTTAGAAGATAACCATCCTTTCCGTTATCGAAGAAACCCAGAAGAAATTGTAGAATGGTTGAACCCACTGTCGTCCCCTGACATTTCTTTCACAATATTCTCAGGGGTGGTTATATGGTTCTCAAATTTTCCTGTGAAAATTTCGTATACCGCATAGTTCCGATGGAAGAAATTCTTGTCTTAAATAATGCTAACATGCTAAGTTAATGTTTAATATGACGCATACTTTCATCAATACAAATGTCAATTCTTTTGTTTCTACTGCCAAATAATTTTGCATTACAATTTTATCAAACTTTTACTAGGAATATCTGTTAACATCATTTAGGAAAATATTTTTATTCCTTCGGAAATATGCGGAATACGAGATTTTCAGAAGGGTAACAAAATGAAGATAATTAATCAAGACATTTGAGAAACCTACTACCACCGTTAAGAATGTTCTGAAAAAAATGTCAAGGTGTGAGGGTGGCTTCAACCCTCCTACAAATTCTCTCACGTTTCTTTGAATACTTAAAGAAGAGTTATACTCTGAAATGCACTTTTATCGCATTTCATCCAATTTATTTTACTAATTTTTGAACAGCAGTACAAAAATTATATAAATAAGTTGCAGTAGCTTCGTCAGGTGACATACTTTTTTTTTCTCAATTGCATTTCCTCATTGGACCCAGCACTGGATCCAACGCCCCATAAGACGAAACTTGTGCGAGGTTAGGAGAGCATACATTTACAAATATCCATGGCCTAACTGGGATTCGAACCCATGCCTCGGTGGGAGTCCCCATACGAACTCAGCGCCTTCGCGCTCTCGACCACCGGGCCGCCTGGTACTTCATATATTATAAGCAAGCCAAGGTTATAGTTTAGTTCAAGATACCATCGTACTGCTTATATTATAAGAAAGCCAATGTTAGTTTAGTTCATCGTACCAGTACATCAGCTGGCGAAGCTACCGTGTTAGCGAAACATGTCGTGTGTTTGAGAATTTTGTGGAAATCTTATCGTTTGTGAAGTTTTTACATTTGTCATGGATTTTCATCAAGTAACGGCCGAGTCAATTGAAAAAAGTTGGGTCCAATCAATAACTGTTTTATACGTGGTATCTCTGTGTCCCAGCACCCTGTATTTGTCATTATCAAAAATTCAAATATATTGCTGAGTCTTACTTGTACGATGTAAAGTACAATATTTGTGGAATCTGTTCTGTGAGCTTATAGGTACATATAACCACATTAGAACCATATATTGTTTCTGTCCTTATTTTCAAGTTTCAATCCTAAAGATGAAATTGATAATTGGAAGTTATCTAGGCAGAGCATTAGCTTATGTTTGGGTGCTGAACCCCACATGTAGGAACAGGATTCATTAAGAGTATTCCAAGTATCTGTCGTTTGCTGTTGAGGTGTGAAGTAGCTTTTCGGTCGGGATAAAAATCCGATTTTTTGTGAAGTAGCATTCGTGATGGATCTGACTCGAGTAACCCAAGTGACAATATTGCTGATGGATATGGCGAGCATAGGATTATTTGAGAATAGTGGTACCAGACAATGGTATATCAGGCATACTGGATTCCGCTTATTTATAAAAAATACAAGCTTGAGTTTTTGATGGCGTTGTATTCAAGTGGGTGGTTAATTCTCCAGTCTGTAATTTTATCAAGATCTTCATTGACATCGTGGACCTTCCTCTTCCTCGTGAGTTTTCACGATGCTGTGGAGAGAGCTAGTGGTCATTCCCAACAGATCATTGATATATGGAGTACGGCAAATGTTGGTGTCAAAATTAATCCTTGTGGATCGCCGGAATTAATGGCAATAGTATCAGACGATACTCCGTCTACCGCCACATGGAGCGATCTGCCTGATTAAAAAGATGGCATTGCTGAGGTGGTTAACCGTATGATGGTAGTTTGTGGAGGAGTCCTTGGTGCCAAACACGGTCCCCATGTTTTTTTGATGAAGCTTGCCATGTATGGGTGACGTAGGCAAGTAAATTTCTGGTTGATCTTCGATGGCCAAAACCATATCGTCTATCATTATTGATTCCTGAGCATTCCAGATGTTTGATAACTTCGATGTTGATTTGTTTTTCCAGCACTTTGGAAATAGAAGCGCGATATGCCTGTATAGTTGTTGGACAGATTCCTCTTTCATTTTTTGGGATTGGTTATTGGACTCTAGTTATTTGAAAGCAGAACGGACGACTTGTACGGAATGGACACTTATTTTTGTCGATGTATAACTTTATGGAAAAAAAGTATTTCTGATGATTAATTTTATCAAATACCTACTTTCTATAGATGGAAAGAACAATATAAAATAGGTATGTGGCGTGAATTCGAACACCCCATTGAAAGTCATCTTCTTCATACTCCCTTATATGCACTGTATCAATTTTTCTTCTTGCAGAAAAACACGCTTGCCAATGGTACGACCACCGCCTGCTACTTTGCATCTCTATTTAACAACAGCAGCATGCTTCTGGTGGATGCTGCCATCAGACATTCACAGAGGGCTCTCATCGGCAAAATAAACATGACCACCCTAGCCCCAGATGACTATTTGGAAACGCCAGAAGAATCCTTAGAAAATACCAAAATTTTCATCGAATATGTGAAATCCCAGAAGGTAAGTCCACTAGTCCAAAACTTACGCGAGAAACAATGTTATGATATTATATTTATTTTAGTCCGGGTTATTATAAGCTCATATCGTCATAGGTACGCTATCAATTAGGAGGGTCATAACTTCCTTAGTAAATTATAGATTCAATAATTCTGTCTACGTAAAATTAAATAACAAATGCATCATGAATGCTCATACAAGGTGGTCATAAAAAAATATTCTTCCAACTTCAACATCCAACTTCATTTACTCAAATATGGCAAAAAACGCCTCCTTATTTTTTTTGCCGTTATTCAATTACACCCTGTACATTTATGATCTATCTCGCACAATTTTATTCAAGCAAATACATTCCCATCAAAATTCCAATGTTTACAATGATACCTAATTAGGATTCGACAGAGAAACTGATCAAGCTTCGATCTTCTAAATTTTTGGGATTTTTTCCCCTCGATTGTCTCTATAAAATGACAAAATTACCAGTCAGTGCCGGATTTATACTCCCTTACACAGGGGGATAACTTTTACGATGCCACCGCGCCGCCGCCAAAAATGAAATTTCAATTGTCAGTTTCACAAATCAAACAATCCTTTCACTGCTTTTTTTCAGCATAAAACGAGAACATGAAATCATTATGTACAACGAATCAAATTATATTTACTTCACGTTAAACATATAACAACAAACAACTTTTTTTTTAGATGAATACTGAAATACTTTTCTTGATTGTTTTGATGCAAAGTCGTCAATGGCATCATCAAAATTCAGATTTAATAACATGTCACTGTTAATACTTGAAATTGATAAGATATTTAATGTATCCTCTACCATGACATTCCTAAGGTAGTTTTTCACTCTTTTCAAAGTTGAGAATGACCTTTCACCACTGGCATTACTAATCATCCGGGATAGTAATAAACTTCTCAGTAATTGCCAATATTCAATGAATTAGGAATTTGTTGTGATTATCCCTAAAACAACGCTTAATCGTGTTAATATTTTCCTCATCTATTTTTGAGATTCTAACTCTTCTTCTTCTGAAAAAGATATAAAACTTATCATTCCCGTCTTGAGATCGTGAACAGGGCCGGCTCTAGAGATTGGTCTGCTAGTGTGCAAATCCCAGAGTAGCGCCCCTATTGGAGTTTATTGAATTAACAAACTGAATCTGATGCAATAAAATATAAAATTAAACTATTTGATGTTTTCAACAGTTTTATTTTCAAAAAAGAATACGTATATGTATAATGAAAATTTAGTTTAACAAATCATTAACATAACTAAAAATAAAAATGAATTCTGAAATAAACAACCACAGCCGAGAACGAACTCTAGAAATAAATTGATATTTTATCAACAGAGAGTATTCAAGTAAGTTATAGGTAATATAATGAACACACAAGGAGAAATATCGCAATTCACAAAAATGGCACTTTACGGGCTTTCTGAGTAGCAAAATCTCTAATTAAATCGCTAATATCCAGAGTATCTATTAAGTTTGATTCTATTGATGTAATTGCTAAACTAGACAATCTTTCTTGGTACATTGTCGACCTCAAATAATTTTTTATAATTCCCAATTTCGAAAAAGATCTTCCTCCTGTTGCAACAGATACTGGCAAAATTCTCAAAGGTACCGTGAAATTTGGAAACAAATGAACTAAATTATTTGTGAAGATATATTCTTCTAACATAATGTGAGGATCATTATTTGTAATATTTTCTTTGAAATAATTTTGTAGTGATAATTTTTTCGTAAAGTTCTAGATCGTCAATATCGGGATTCTCTTGATTCATGTCGGCTAATTTATTGTGGAGCTGCTTACAAAGTTTTAATAATTCTTCTCGTGATATATCAGAAAATTTAAATAAAAAACCAAATATCTCATCTTAGTTTCTCAGATTTTCGAATCTTTCTTCAAGGGACGTTATGGTTTGATCTATTACTTGCAAATAAAAGTTAATTTTGAATTGTTCTTTAGGATCAACCGGTGTCTCATCTTCATGTTCGTAACTGAATTGTATTGTTTTTTTCCTACGGCGGATTGTTTGTATTTCTCGAAATGTTGTTGTTACATAGTTATATGAAAGTAGGAACTTTTCTATCGTTTTCCTAAACGTTTGGCGCCCCTTTCTGGTTTGATAGTGTTCTGTGCACACCTCGCACACCCGCTAGAGGCGGCCCTGATCGTGAAGTTCCCGGAGACGGTTTTGTCGGTCTCATTTGAATTTAGAAAAAAAATGAATGTATTTTATGATATTAAATATACTGAACTCTGATTTTGTTTTTTGTTATTGAGTTCGACGAATCACGAAATTGCCCCTACTCTACTAGGTATAGTGCGGTTTTTTTTCTCATTATCAAATAAAAGTATGTAGCGCCGCCGCTTTTGTATTGTAGCGTCCAAGACACAGCTGACCAAGTCCTTTTGATGCGGTAGCTAATTGCGCGTTTGCTTCAAAAGAAGACTAAAGAGGCGGCATACAAGAATCAAGAAGCAATATAATATATTTGTCGTTCTCTTTTTCTCTACCGCCTCTTGAAATTCACCGCCGGGGGCTGATAGTCGCATAGCCGCCCCCCTAAATCCGGCACTGTTACCAGTATTATAGGGAATATAAATAGTTTTTTCCACCACTAGCTTTAGAACCTACCACTATTTACCCCTTTTCAAGGCGTAGAGTGGGTTTTTACTATACCAAGGTAGTTTTCGTCATTTCATGAACCACTATAGTCAATTAAGACCTAGCCACCTGTGTTATAATTAACACGAATTCACTTGTCTGATGCGAGATTCGCAGGAATGGCTCTCGAATCTTGTCGGTATTCATCAATAACAACTTATGCTGTAATATGGTTATGATGGCTACTAGATATCAATTAGAATTGAAAACGAATGCTTTCATAGTGACATAAGGTCCATATTTCAGTTTCACACAGAATAATGATCGAAATATACGGCTAGTGGTGAAACATATTCAATATACACCTTGATAGTAAAGAATATTATCACCACGGGACCTTATCCCCTCGTCTGAAGCCTTAGGATATAATCTTGGTCCCTGGATAACAATGATATTATTAACAACCTTGGTGTTTAAGTACCTAGTATCAAGGACAATTCAGATAATTTGTTTCAAAATGACACCCAAGAATTGTTAGGTAACCAAAAGGAAATAAACAACAAAAAAATAGAGAAGTGAAATCAATCTTTCATCACATAAATCCACTCATAGACAGTACTCTGAAAGAGTTCTGGGGAAATTCAATATAAATATAAGTTTCCATCAAAACTCCAATTGTTTCGTTTTTGAGGTATCACTAGCGAGTATTGATCAACATTTTAATTAGGTACCTATCATGTTTGTCAATTTGTTTAGTCTGATTTAGTAAAGCCAGTCATCACCCCCAGATTTGCACTGAGTGTTGACATGGATTTGATGAAAAAACTAGGCGATCTAGCTGCCTATGAAGATCTGCACATTCAAGTTAGTATTTCTAGGACATGAATACCCCAATACTTTACTCAATGTTTTTCCTTTTTTCTAGACACATATTTCCGAGAATAGTTCTGAAGTGGATATGGTCGTTTCCAAGTACAATATGTTGTATGCCAATGTTTATGATGAAGCTCAATTATTGACCTCCAAGGTGAATGAAAGACATTTCAGGGTTATTTCTATGTCAATCTTTCCTGTCTGTTGCATCAGAACGCAACAGAAAACATACACATAATATTCAATAACCCACCTGAATATTTGAAAAACGCAAAAAATGTATCTTATGCTTTCAAAAAATGCTTGAAATCATTTCTCCTAAAAAAGTTTGTCTACTCGCTTAAGGAATATTTTCATAATTGACTATATAACTAACCTAATGAAAATTGTATATATCTGACTCTTTTATACAATGTTCGTCGATCATATTATGTAATCTGCTGTCATTTATCTATAGTTTATAGAATTGTATTTTTGTAACAACCTGACTATTCCTATACTTTCTTAGAAAGTCTAAAGGAAAATAAAGATATTCATTTATATTTATTTATGAAAGAATGACATATCATAAATTCATTTTTCGAAATGGAAAACCCTCTATTTTACATTTTCTTTTGGAATTTGTGAATTATGTTTTTCTTTGTACATCATAGCATGTTCCATACATTTTGAAATGCTCCTACAAATTTCACCTGGGCCGAGACAATTCAAAACGCGATAACCACACGTTTCTAGGGCATTGAAATTTTGTTCACTGAATTCAACAAAACATTTACTTCGTTTTGACAGACCATTCTTGCACATGGGGTATATTTGACCGATGAAGAGATTCAACTGATTGCTCGAAGGGGAGCTTCAATTTCCCACTGTCCCGAATCCAATACATGCTTGAAATCAGGTCTTTGCGATGTATATAACCTACTGAATCGAGGGGTCATAGTTGGTCTTGGTACAGGTAAGTTTCAGAAACTAAACTTACAGAACCATATTTTCAACAGCAACATTTGCAGTATTGTGAACTTGGCTACAACGGTATAAAATTTGAATAAAAAAATCACCATTTTCACATTTCAAATTCTTCTTGTTCTATCCAGATCAAATAGTAGTAGGTATTGTTTTCTGAAAACCACCAAATTTGAATAATCCTATGAAGATATGCAGAAAATATCATATCACCTTAATACACTAGAAATTCAAACTCAGCTCTCCCCCCTTTGATAGAAATATCACAATAAAATAGAATTGATATAAGATACCGGGTGACCAGTTATATTCTGACCCATTTCAAATGCTTATATCTCTGAAACAATTCAAGTTATCGTTGTGCAGTTTGGACTAGTCTATTTTGATATTTTTCTAGTTTTTTTTGACAGGTTCACCTTCTCTCTTGAACTTCCGGTTCTACCGGAAACAAACTAGCTATTATTCAGGTATAGGGCAACTTTTTTATTTCATCGAAGCACCCTGTATATTTTTGCACATTCAGAAAGACTGGTCTTTTCTCTTCCTAACAATGCATAACAAGTTATGTTTTCTCAGAAAACTATCAGAGTTATAACTCTTTGAAGCATCTACTGCATATTAGGATGTTATCCTGAAATGCTGAATTACCGTATATTGAGTATAAATCTGATGCAGATTTATGATGAGTTCATTTGCTTTTTCAGTCAAAGTAAACATTTTTTCAACTCGAAGAAAGTACAAATGCTCGACAATCTTTATTTGGACACATCTAATCTGGCATTTCATGTGTTGTGATCAGGACTTCCAAAGACGACTTTGGTTACATTGCAAAATCTCATTAAACCATTCCACATGCAGTAGTTGTTTCAAACAGTTATAACTCTGATAGTTTTCTGAGGAAACATAACTTACATTGTTAGAAAGAGAAAAGACCAGTCTTCCTGAATGTGCAAAAATATACAGGGTGATTAAAAAAAAGTTGCCCTATACCTGAATAATGGCTAGTTTGTTTCCGGTAGAACTGGATGTTCAAGAGAGAAGGTGAACCTGTCAAAAAAAACTTGAAAAATATCAAAATAGACTAGTCCAAACTGCACAACGATAACTTGAATAGATTCAGAGATATAAGCATTTGCAATGGGTCAGAATATAACTGGTCACCCGGTATAATGGAATTAAGGTTAAAGCTCTGGTTGATGTCATGAAGATTCATGGTTTAATTTTTATTTTCCATTAACATCCTCAATTTTAGATATTACTGCAATGTTTCTACTCGAACTGAAAACTCATTTCTATATTTTCTTAGATGTTTCAGGTGGACCATTACCTTCCATCCTGAGAGCCATGAAAGCTGCTTTAGATACATCAATTCATATATCATTCCAATACAAGAATTATATGCCCCTAACATATAAAGATGTGTTTTATCTTGCTACTCTAGGTGGAGCTGAAGGTAATTAACCTTTGCGAAATTTGCAACTTTTGATAATGATATTATGTCACTTAGAGTAGGTTCAAAATTATCTATCTATTTGGGTTTCATGGTCTCCATATGAGCTCTCCCTTTAATGTAGATTACTATAATAGTGGAAAAGATGAAAATTGAACAAGGTATAGTGAAACAAATGAAGTTTACTGGCATGAGAGCTGAGGTCACTTTTCAAAAATTTCTAAAATCGGTGGTATATCTATCCTTTGTTAGCAAATCATCTAGGTTCATGATTACTCTCTTGTTAATCAAATGTACATTTCACTGGCGTTTTTCACATTCTTTATCATTCTAAGAGCAACCGTCAGAAGTCTAGGGTTAGAGGACCAAAACTAGATGAGGGTAATCACAATAGATCTTCTATATCTATAGGACCCATCTACATCATTAGAAGAGGATAAAATATAACTTGTATTGTAAGAAAAGACCGACATGGCGCTTTCTGACGGCCAATTGAAAAAAGTCAGCAACTAATAAGTCTTCATTACCCAATTAACTTTTCAAAAAGTTATGAAACTTCAAGGACATAAATAAATCTTAATATCAAATTCAATCATTTTAAAGCAGATATTGTTAATCTGAATGAACATCATAAATACCTAATTGTAATTTCTATCAATTTCCAAATCATGAGTATACAGGGTGTATCTAAATAACATCGAAAAATTCAAGGGGTGATTCCTTGTGATAATTTAGTAAATAAAGTTCATATAAACATGTTCCTGACTTGCCTCGTTTTTCGAGATACAGGGTATTAATCTTTCCATGAAAAATCGTTTATCTATTCATTTCTCTATTGTCTTTTCACCAAATTCAATAAAACGTTGTGGTTTTGTTAATAGTAATATCGACCTTCTACTGAAGCAATTAAATTCGATATATTTCCAGTGGCGTCACAGTGGGTAAATTTATCGATATTCATGGTTTATGTCATTGTACCACCGGTTTTTCCGGTTCCATATTTTTATTAGATTGAAATATTGAAATAACAACTATTTTATCCTCTGTGTGATTTTTGTTTGTTTTTTGTTTTTGAGGAAACAATAAAAATTCAATTTGACTCCAAATTATAATGTAGGTGTTTTCAAGACTTCCATTGAGATTACTCAATAAGCCCAATTAGAATCATTTTGAAATTTTTGGTATTTATCAGTCTCCATCTATACTGAATTTTGGCACCATGAAAGGGATTATACAGAGTGTGCCATTGAAAACGAAACAGCGGCTCTGTAAGTCGGCAAAACCGGATTATGAAAAAAATCTGAAACATGTCAACTACATTTTCGAGGGGGACATCGTTCTAAAATATTTTCAGCCCTGCGGCGTTGCCGCTTCTAACGAAAAGAAGCAACAACTTTGTTATTTCAAATGGAACACCTTGCATTTCATTGCATTTTAAGATTCTCCCCGAAGAGCTGATTTCATCATTGCATCACACTTGGGGTCTAGCTGGAATGATTTCAGGAATATAGGGTTGTTCAAAATCGAGATTTTACAACTTTAGGATTTTTTTCAGTCAAAACTATTCATTATTGGTCAAACCGGCTTTTATGTCCCTATATCAACTTTTGATTTACTATCTACTGACATTTCATTGTAACAGATACAGGGTGATCAGAAGTCTGAATCTTGAACCACCCTGTATTTGTTTCAAATAAATGTCAGTAGATAGTAAATCAAAAGTTGAGATAGGGACATGAAAGCCGTTTTGACCAATAATGGATAGTTTTGAAACAAAAAAATCCGATTTTTTAACACCCTATATGCCTATATCCCTGAAATCATTCCAGCTAGACCCGAAGTGTGATGCATTGATAAAATCAGCTCTTCGGGGAGAATCTAAAAATGCAATGAAATACAGGGTGTTCCATTTGAAATAACAAAGTTGTTGCTTCTTTTAGTTAGAAGCGGCAACGCCGCGGGGCTGAAAATATTTTAGAACGATGTCCCCCTCGAAAATGTAGTTGACGTGTTTCAGATTTTTTTCATAATCCGGCTTTGCCGACCTACCGAGCCGCTGTTTCGTTTTCAATGGCCCACTCTGTATATAAAAACAATTAATACTTTCAACTTCAACATCCTGTATCTCAAAAACGGAGCAAGTTAGGACACATGTTTTTGCTAGAATGTCACAAGGGAACACCTCTTGAATTTTTTCGGTGTTATTCAGATACACCCTGTATGTTGAGACTATGTATGGATCAGGAACTGTAAAATCACTAATATTCAAATACTTGTTTCAGCACTATCTCTGCATGACAAAATCGGGAACTTCCAAGAAGGAAAAGATTTTGATGCACTTATAATAGACATGGATGCCAAGGATAGTCCTGTTGACTTTTTACTAGAATGCTCAGTGTTAGAAATATTCCAAAAATTCATCTATACTGGTGATGATAGAAATATCATTAATGTATTTGTTGCAGGAAAACAAGTTAAATAAAAATGTTGTTTATAATATACAAATGATTTTTTTATTAGATCATTGTTAAACCCTAACCTACTCAAACTTAAGCTTTGTTCATTATCAGTTTTGCACTACCATATAAAACAGTCCTTTGAGTACCAACAACATCACAGCTGAAATCTACCTTAATTATTTTTCTATCTTCAACTATTTTTACAAAAATGCTTACAGTGTCACCCACCAAACATTTACTAGGAAAGTTCAAGGTCTGTTGTACAACCATGCTTCCTGGACCAGGAAGTTTGGTGCCTATCACCCCTGAAACAAGGGAATTCAAAAAGGCCCCATGTACTATCCCCACCTTTTCATTTTCACTTGAATGGATAGGATTTGTATCTCCACTAAGTCTGGAGAATGTAATGATATCTTCCTCAGTAATTCTTCTGGTAATTATTATTTGGTCTCCTACTGCATAGTTTCTCATTTTTGGAACCACATCAGAGAACTTTCTAACTGTCTCAGAAATTCTCATCATGATTTTTTGAAATGAGTTTGGAGAAATACCTTGCCCAAATTTTTTAAACGTGGATTTGGGCTTGCCTCATACTGGAATACTTTCTGCTCCAATTCCTTAGGCACTTCAGTGCTCTTGGATTCAAGTATATAAAACAATGAAGTAAGGGCATTCAATGAGATCTCTTCATTTTTGTGCAGCAAAAAGTTGGATAGCAGCTTCACTCCATTCAGAGAAATTATGTACTCTTGACACTCTGGGTCTGAAAAAAAAATCTTGAATGAGAGGGTCTCAGTTTTCGTTTTCATATTGAATATGTAGATAATTACTGCTGCAGTGCAGCAAAGGCAAATGAAATGATTCTTTAGATTTCATGATATTTGAAGTTGTCTTACCACAGGCAATATTGCACAAGCCAGCTAGAGCAAAATGTATGAGCTCTTCTTCATCATCAGAGAGTACATTTAGAAAAAGATCTATCAGATGCAGCTGTTTCATGAATTCATAATTGATAGGATCATAGGCGAAGTTTGATAAATTTGCCAATGTCTGCTTTTTATTATCTACAAAACAAAGTCTACATTAAAACTCTGAATAAATGTAGACTAGCTGTTTTACCAAAAGAAGTGGTGGTGGCAAATTCATGAATGAGTTGTTTGAGGAAATCGTATCTGCCAATTCCAAACTCCCCGGTTTTTTTATTTAACTGATCTTGTCTGCTGAACATTAGGAAACAGTCATATTTTTTGTGTTTGAACTTGTTGAAAGTGGTTTGAATAAAAATAAAATAATGAGTAAACAAATAACAATAACCCTAATCTTCTTCTTTCTTTTCTCCTCATTTTTTTATTATTCTTTTTCGTTTCTTGGCCTCATATTCCTCTTCTTGTTTTGAGTGAGTCCAGTTGTGGGGTATCCAACCAAAATGGTATTTATTTTATGCCATCGCAACGTTATAAGGTTCTTGTTACCTACATCTTATTCTAATAGATGTCGCTATACGTATTCTCTGTCAAGGTTGGTAGAACTGATTATAATTTGTATAGGAAGGTTGCCTCGATCGATAGTGCGGCAAGGGGGGAAACGGTCATACAAACATGATACAAACTTTTTGGTCTGCTCAGCATAAATATATTAATTTATAGTATATAAGTAAGTACCATTATAAAATATGGACATTTACATATACTTCTGTATAATACCTTCAATCTTCGAAATGAGAAGGCAATTTTGGATGGATCAGTAGTACAGAGAGGAATACCTATCTGAAATTTTGTTCCAGGGGCTATTTACCAGGTCGTGGTACCAGAGGTATGTGTGTTTTGAGGTATGGAGCATAATTATGGAGCTAGTGATTACTTATGCATTGATTATGAACCTACTCATCCTATAAATATCCTGCAAATCAGATAATGTGAACAAGAAACTACAGAAAATATAAAAATAATCAACTGGATGATCCAGAAGTAGTAGCAGTGGACCAATATTCGTACACAACATATCACTTATTTAATCAATATAACTCTGTATTCTGAAAAATTAACAAACTTTCCTAGATACCTGTAACATAGGCTTCACAACTTGTGTATCAACCTTTACCCTGACATGTTGTCGCATGTCAATTGTCTTGTCTAATGACATGCGTCAACAACTGACAGGACGCGATATATCATGTGCAGTATCACGCAATTTCATGTATCGACTATTTAGCAGTGACTTGAAATAAAAGTTAATAAAGCAACATAATATTATAATAACTGATTATTTATTGAATAATAAACTTCATTACATACACAAGAGAAGTATGTAACAATACCTATAGAAAATACAAGAGGAAATAGTATTTCATTGTTTGATTATATGTAGTCAAAAACAGAGCAATTGATCGAAGTATTTGAGCATAAAAAAATAACAAAATATGATTCTGAACAAAATTAATGAAAAATAACACTACTATTATAAGTCAACCTATAATAAAGGATAGTTCAAGGAATCTCTCAAATAAACATAGCTCCTCTTCGTTGGGTAACGTACTCTTGCTCAAATATCTCAACTTGAAAACACGTGTGATATCTTCTGATGTCCATTTTACCCGTTCAGCAAGAATCTCAACATTCACAACTGGTCTGGTTCTGATCATTTTTCCAAACTTCCATACTTATGGTGTTTCTCTTATTGTATTTGGTAATATTGATGGGATTCCCACCTTGAGTTTTCTTCTCTTTGGTGTGTGATTTAGCAATTCTGCTTGTGCCGTTCAAAATTCTCGGCATCGAAATGGGCAGAACATATTCGCCAAGTTTTGGTATTAAATGAATTAAAATTACGTCCACAAAATTGAATCCATTTCTCACGAATAGATTCATCTTATGGAAATTAATGGAAACACAAACTAAATTCACTAGTCTCATTACACTTGTACGAATTTTAACAAGAAGTGACCGAACAAATTATCATTTTTACATTTTTAAGTTCAAAATGGTTCAAATATTCGAAAATACTGACAACTGTCAACTCAATACATGCGCCGGCCAATCGCCGGCGTAAATATCATACACGAAGTGTACGAGAGTGCTACACTTTTCGTGCAAAAGAAAGGGCCTATTACGTCATGAGTTACTCAAGGTTACTCGCGGGGTGCGATCGAGGCAACCTTCCTCTACAAAATAGTCATCAGTTCTACCAACCTTGTTCTCTGTCAAGGTTGGTATCATTGATGATTCATTTGTAGGGGAAGGTTGCCTTGATCAGAAAACGCGGTGAGGCGAAGTGGTAATTCGTTCTACCAACATTGAAATAGTCGGTAAACGACGCCCTCTATCAGATGCGGTGTCAACTGAGTGTGAAATTATGTTTCATTTGGAGTAGAGTCCATACAGGGACTCTAATTTGGAGAAGGGGTATGGAAGATACAGAAATTTGAAAAATATTTTGTTAACAAGCTTCCCCCACCATTATTATTCAAGATACTTGAAAATATTTCGAATACATTTTTCATCGCCGATTTCGTTCAAAGATTTTTTCACGAAGCTGTAAAAGATTTATGGTTTCCATAATATCGTATACCTCACCGACTTAGTGGAACACCCTGTATGTGTCATATATATGACTATATAGTCAGTTGTTGGAGCGCCTTTAGCAAGGATTGTCAGCCTGTTCAGCCGAGACCGACGACGGGCGGTTGATTTTTGCTTGAGTTGCTTCAAATATAATATGACTATATATATATACACCGGGTATTTCTCGAAAGTGGCTCACCCCACCCATATAACTTTTTTGTTTCTACAAATGGAAAGTAAATTTTTTTTCCTTTGCAACTTGATTCAAAATTAACTGCTGTTTTTTAACTCATTCATGGCACTTTAAATAAAAATTGAGAAATGAAAATTTCACGATGATGAAGGTCAAAAAGTGGCAAATGGGGTGTCTTTTGTACTCACAATGTTATTCTCTATCGAAATAAGTGTCCCGAGAGGTGTCCCATTTTGAATAATGAAATAACGGCCATTTCCGGTCAAACCGGAAGTGACAAAAAACAACAAACGTCTAATATTTATGGTATTACACGTTGAATGTCATTTGTTTATCTATAGAAACAAAAAAGTTATAGGTGTGAGCAACTTTTGAGAAACACACGGTATATATCTCGGTATGTTCGTTTATCAAGAAAGTAGATATACCAGTTATTTAAAAATTTATTTCCTGATTGACCTACAGACAGTATTTGAAATGGGAGCAAACTCAACAAAATTGACTAGCTGAAGAACTTCGGTCGATGACTATATCTGGTTTAAACAATAAAGAACAATAATGATAATTATTATCATCATTATTAACAATTTGACTATTGAAATAGTCTAGTTTTGGGAGGAATGTGTACCTATACCTATCTATTTTACTATTATTATATTGTTCCCGATCATTAAATCTGCATTGTGTAGGTATGATTGAATACTTTTACATCTATTGTTGATATACCTAATAATAAGTAACCTATCGACGAGATGCAGATTTACCTAATTCATATAATATATATATGTTTGCAAATTATCCGAAATTAAGTAAAAATTAGTTCATTCAATTGCCATAGTGCAACTCTGGACTTTTATTGAAACATCGAAGTCTACACCTACACATACCTTATTCATCAAATATTTAGTAGAAAAATCTCGTGTGCATATTTATTTGGTCCTTGAACTAAACAAATTAACAAACTAATGCACTCGTCCAAGTTTCTAAAAATAAAATACTTGTAACTTGTTACATATTTGACTTAAATAATAGTATGGCTGCAGACGAAAACCATCAATTAGAAGATGAATTATTTCTTGAAATTGTAAGTACATCAAATGATTGTGAAAGAAGAAATAGAATAGGTACATATATAATACAAGCAATAAATAACAACTGTTATTCAAGGATAAGCAGTATTTCGGAACTGAAATACTCGATAGTGAAGAATCTTTGCTATTATATGGAATATTGAAGGCAGTAGCCGAGGGAAATTTAGAGAAAGTGAAAAAAATTGCCGCCAATTCAGGATGCCTAAATTTAAATGATAGTAGTGGGAATACTCCTCTACATATAGCCATATTAAAAAATAAGTAAGAAACAAATTGAATTAAATTTCTCGTACTACCCTAACCATCATCTTTCCAGCAAAGAAATCCTAGATTTTTTGCTTGCCCAAACGAATATCGATTTAAACATTAGTAACTTCAATGGAGAAACACCCCTATTCCTGGCAATAAAAACAGGAGAAATCGAAGTTGCTAAAAAACTCGTCCACCATGGAGCAAATGTTAACGTCCAAAACTATGAAAATGTTGCCCCATTACACCTAGCTGTAACCTACCCAGACTTAGCCTTTGAACTGATATCAAAAGGAGCATACTTAGATGCCACAGATTACAGTGGAGATACTCCACTGCATGATGCTGTAGCTGAAGAATGCCTAGAGACAGTGTGTATGCTTCTTTATCACAATGCAGATGCCAATGTCAGAGGAGTGAATAATCTAACACCATTCATGAAAGCTATAATATCAAAAAATGCAGAGATCCAAGTAACTTTATTGAACTACGTCGATGATTTCAATGTAGAAACTTATGATTACATAACAACTCTAGCGCTGTCCATCATCAACAAGTCACCACTAGTTGAAGAGATAATAGAGGGCGGTGGCGATGTGAACTATGCTTATGGCTATGACTTAGTGGATATTTTCTCGTTGTGCCTTCAATATCCCAATGCTAAGAATTTCAAGCTGGTTTGGGATAGGCTCAAGTATGATGGGGTTGATATGTCATTGGGTAGCGTCCTCTGGAGGATCAGTGGGACGCTACGTAAAGAGTTCTTCAAGCAATACATAGACATCATCATTGAAAGCGATAATTTGGAACAGGTTGTCGATTCTATTAGTACAGCAGACGATTTTTATATGGTCATAGTCAGGTTTTGTGATTTCTTTAACCAATTATCGCTTGATCAGCTCACTAAATTGACTTGTCGTCTTTTGACTTTTGGCTATGTTGTAACGAGTTTTGATATGAGCAAAGTTTTTCTTCATTATGGTTACTGTGAAGTTTTCAAAATATTGCTCCATATGGATATAAGGCCCATAGGACAAAGGCCCCCTGATACCTCTAGAATCATTTATGATGTGAATACTAATATGGATACTTTATTGAATCAAGTTGTGTCTGTGATCAATATAGAGTATTTACACAATACCATTTACCAGATCTTGGATTATTGTGTATATCCCAAACTGATGAATGGTTACTTAGATTTAAATAGGGATGATTATGTTACTTTCAAAATTCTTCATTTACCTAGAGTACCATCTTTATTGGAATTGTGTAGAAATAAATCTAGAGAAGTACTAATTAGCAACTTCAATGTTAAAACTTCCGGCCAACTTTACACTCTCATTAATCATATGGAATTGAATGGGGTCTATAAGAAAATATTATCTTTTGAAAAAAAGCTTTATATTCCTTCTTATGTTTTTACACCCAAAACTTGTAAGAGACAATACTAGGAAAAAAATAGTAGTGTAAGTGTAGTTAGAAATAAATTCTTGGAAATGTGGAGAAGGTTGTGGATTTATTCCAAACAGTGAGCTGACTTCAAACAGTAAGGTTTGATTTAAGCTTGTTTTCAAGTCTATCTTGTGTTTGTTGTAACTTTTAGCCATGCATCATCTGAAACAATATTCAAAAATGTGTATGTTCTTCTAAACTTTGAATGTTTTTATTATTGTGTTCCTGGGGCTTGAAATTATTTCAATTTCTGATGAAATTACTTGAAACATGCAGAAATTTATTATTTCAAGAACTTTGCAGAAGAATAGAGGAATGTTATGTCAGTATATTCATGTTTTATTTTCACTCATAATTTTGACAATGTTTATTTATTTCATTAGTTCCCATACCTACTTGGGAATATATCCTGATTAGCCTCACCTTAGTTATGATTTTATTGGATTATCCTTGGCTAATCTTGGGTTAGTGTGGTAGCATTATACTCCCTTGAACTACATCCTTCAATTCCTGAATAGTGGCTTCCCAATCTCTCTCTGCAATTCTTGGCAGGACAGTAGTAAGGAGCCTTGTTACTTTGACTACATTTTCAGAAAAGGTTTTCATAACATTAGCTACACATACTTTCTCCCCAGAATCTCTCCAACAATCATAGTCTGTAACCAAGGCCATGGATGCATAGCATATGCCTGCTTCTTTAGCTAAGACCACCTCAGGAACAGCTGTCATAGTTATAACATCTCCACCCCATTGCCTAAATACATTACTTTCTGCTCTGCTTGAAAACCTAGGACCTTCAACTGTGACAACTGTGCCAGTTGAATGTATGGTAATATTCAGTTCTTCTGCTATTTCAATGATTACTTTTCTTGTTTCTTGGCAGTAAGCTGGCTCTAGTGGTATGTGACAAACTCCAATAGGGTGTCCTGGTTCTCCATCATAAAAACTTTGCTTGCGGCCTGTAGTTCTGTCTATGAAACTGTCTAAAACAACTATATCACCAGGTTTGATATTCTCCTGAAGGGAACCAACAGCTGTCGTAGCTATGATGTGGGTGCATCCTTCTTCTTTCAGAGCCCAAATGTTTGCTCTGTAATTTACATTTCCTGGGGTAATGTTATGTTTTCTACCATGACGGGCTAGAAGAACGCATGGGACTTTTTCTATTTCTCCCAAAATTAGGACGTCTGATGGATTTCCAAAGGGAGTGGAGACTGTTTTTTCCTTTCTGTTTTTGAGGATATCAGGATCGTCGAAGCCGGAACCTCCAATAATGCCTATTTTGATAACAGGAGCCATTATTCGTAGATCAAGCTATATCAAATCAACACAGCACGGCATATAATAGTAATTAACAATATTTTAATTCATCAAGATTTTAGTGAATTTTATAAAGATTATCTTAAAAGGTTAAGGTCTGACGTTTGAGGTTGAGGCTTTGTTTATTTATTTCTTGCGTTCTGGAAGTGACTACTACACTGTTCAGACGGTCCTAGTCTGATCAAGGGCCAAGGCTAATAGGTCAGTGACAGGCCGTTAATGAATGACATCGTTGACATCTAATCAGGCGCGTATACAAGACAATCGAAGAAAATTCAGTGTATCAATCAAAATTAACATTAGGATTCACAAAACGAATGTGCTTTCATTCAACACGTATAACAAGTATCTAATCTATATTTCTTCCTAAAAACTGAAAAATGCCAAAACTGCAGTGTGTAAGTTCGTTCTTCATTCTGGCAATTTAATTTATGCATATATATATATAACCCTTAAGCCGGTGTGATTTTTGTCATTATGGTAGCGAAAAAGTTTTCTCTTTTTCCAGCGACAAAAACGCCGAAACTTGAACATTAGAGATAAGCATTACAATCAAAATTATATACAAATTTTTGATGGTGTTTATGTCATGTTTTTCTCAAAATTGCTTCGTCTATCTAATCTGTGAAAACTTCGCGATTTGAAGCGATTGAAGCAAACCATCAACAATAAACAATGTGATGAAACGAATTCGTCAAATTATCTCACCGACTTACACTCAAGCATTTTTTTCGGGTGGTAGTAAAACTTGACATTCATATAAAATTTTCAAATGAACTTGAAATAATTGGCATTTGACCATGAACAACAAATAAATTCCGACTGCGGTGCTTTTATGCTTCATGTTTTCCCCGCGCACCATGTATTACCTTCCCCCTCATGGAACAAAGCGGCGTCCCAAATCAAATTTGAATTTGCATTGAAAATTTGTGATTTCGAACAAAGAAGATGCATGCAATGTAGTTTTTGCTGAAATTTGAAAAAAATTATACCGCGGAAATAATTTGCGTACCTATACGTATCGACTGAATATGTAATAAAGAGAGAGTACCTACAAAGAGCGTCGATATGGGAGGGGTGGAAGGGGGGTAACCCCCTCCCCCATCCCAAGAATAATAATTTGTAAGATGGAGTAATTGATATTATATAAATGTATGGAGGTTTGTTTCGTGATTTGTTTGTTCACATAATAAGTTTAGTTTTCTTTCTATTTCTTATGTGTTATTTTTGTTTTAAGTAACTCATACTAATTGCTCGTTTCCTTAAGTATGTGAACAGCTGTTCAGTGAATATGTTTCATACAGGATGGGACGATTTTTTTCCGTTCAATGAAGGCATTTTTGACAGAGATGATAAATTTGACATTTTGCTTCCACCGTTCTTTTTTTCTACAAAAATGATATTCTTTATTTTAATCGATATCTTGTACCGATCAAGAAAAAATCGCATTTTAAAAACATACATCCCAAGTAATTCCCAACCGTTTCAAAGGTGATAAAACTCCATTCATCATCAATTTGTATGGATAGGACGGACTAATTGGCAACTGCTTGATTACCTATGCATCTTATATCATTAATAAAACTTTGAATGTAGATAAATGTTCAACTTGTTTGCAAAAACATCCAGACCCGCTGTCAAAAGAGGTACTTTTGAATATTCGAGGTGATAATGGGGCTGATGCACGATGGTGCTGTACCTTATTTCTATAAAGTTGTAAGAAATCATTGGAACATCACATTTCCCCATGGTCATTTTCCATGGCCACCTCGGTCACCTGATCTTAAAAAATACGTTTCTTCTGCCTAATTCACACAGTTGCAATTGAAAATGAGTGATAATTTACAGTTGCAACTGTAAATTAGGCAAATGTTAATGAAAAAAATAAAGTTTTTCAGACGCGTCGTAGAAATGTAATAAAAACCACCTTAAAAGTTTCGCAGTCTCTTGTTCCACTCAAATACCTAATTTAAAAGCACACATGCATTACCTGTGCTATTTTACATCGTAGTAAAAGATTTGTATCATAATGAACAATTGATTTTTTTTAGATAATCAATCAGTGTTTTTGATCGAAAACTAGCAGTAGGAAGGTAAATAAAATCGCATCCCAATATTGATTGTAGATAGTATTTATTGTATTCTGAGTGTTGAGTGATATTCTGGCGACGATGAAAACCTTGGTTTTACTTTCAGCAATATTTGCTTGTTCTTGGGCAACGATAACTTCACCAATTATTAATGAAAATATTAAGTTAAATAGAAATATGGTGGATAGTTTATTAGTCAAATATGCAGAAAAGGCTAGGTAAGAATGTTTCGAATGATTTTTTTAAAACATTTGAGCAAAGTATTACTTTTTCACAAACAAAATACAGTTAGACGAACAACTCATATAAATAAAAACTTTCCTCACCACTGAAATTTTTTAAAAGTATTACTTTTCATCAGAGAAAAATCTTCTACAGCGTACCTATCGAACATTGTAACTTTGTGCACGGAAATTCGTAAGGTAAAATAGTACTTTGCACACGCTCGTAGGCAAAAGAATAGTTCAATAAAAATCAAACGTTAATTCCCCTCGAAATGTATACCCATCTGAAATACCTATATACTACCAACCAATATAAGTAAGTAACAAAACTATAGGTACTGATAATGAAATTCACGAGTAGTGAAAATTTTTCAACACACAGTACTTTGTTGAGGAAACCTTGATTTTAAAAAAAATCTCTATTGAAAATCTCAGTGATTTCGAAATTTTGGAGTGGTCATCGCGGGGGTAGTCCGTTCCTGAATCCTGACTTCGTAGACTCATGCATGAAAGCAGATATATCATGATGAAGGCTCATCAAAGAAATTCATTTATTTAGTCAATTAGCAAAATTTGATTGATTTCCAATATTTATTTTCGTATTTAGAGCGCGAAATGCTACTTTGGTGATCCAGATCTGATTAGTCGAGATGACCAAGTATTTCGCACTCGAGTTACAAACAAATTTTTTTTTCTACAAACGTCAAAAAATATAGTCCAAAAGTAAAAATATGCGTATAGCTTGATGAAAAGTATAGATACTTCGCGCACTGTTTTGCTTCGCTCATTGTTTTGTGCAAGGTATCATGGTAACGTACGAAACTGAAAAAAAGTGTCACTTCGCAATTTGTTATCAATTCGAGAACCTTTGTAATTTTTTGACGTTTGTAGAAAAACATTATTCATTTGGAACTTCAAGAGTTTAGAACAAATTAAGTAATAGATAATAGAATTAACTGCCAGAGATCTCATAACTAAGAGAATCAGGATGAACAGAGTTGCCCAAATTGTCAGCAGGAGCGAGACAGTACTGTTTCAACCCACCAGGTCTCATCAGCCGCTCTCGGTCTGCTGACAACTCGCACAACTCTACGCTTCGGGTATATCACCCATTCCGAAGACGCAGGGTATAACATGAGGTTGTAGTCATGTTTTAGCCATCTAGTGGCAAAGCTCTAAAGGTAGGATCCAGAGATCGTGACACACACACACTGCAGAGATCAGTGGGTGACTGATCTCTGCACACTGTATGGCGCTGCCATCTATAGTCACACGTACAGACCCTTACGTCTATACCCTACAGAGTGGTACTACAAGTAAACCACTCTGCTGACAAATAATAGGATTGAGAAAAATTGTTGGATAATATAATATATAATACGACAGTATAGAAATACTGATGATTATCTCGACCCTATATCTATATATACATTCTTGAGAGAAGAAGAAGTACTATAATTACCTTCAAGAGGCCGTCGCCAGAAAGGAGCAGGGTGGGGCAGCTACCCCCCTAGAGGATAACGCTCACCAGTCAACCTGCTAATTGAAACGACTATTTCATTCGTCACATAATCCGACCAATCACAAGCCAGAGACAACGAGTGCCTATCGCGAAAGCATTAGCTGTCTTTCAATTCTGATTGGTTTATCAGCGTTGATGTTTACAAATATGTAACCATGGATAGCTAAGCAAAGTCTGTCAGTTTGGTAAAAATAATTATGGCTGTACTTGTCAGAAGAAATCACTTTATAATAAAGACTTATTATTTTTATCCTTCGTGAACGTGAAATAGTCTAACAAAATACCACTGTGTCCTGAAAACCTTCTCATGATTCCGCCTTTTATTGTTAACTAAATTGTGTTGACGTATACAGCAATACGACTTGTCCTGACCGACTTGTGGTGTTGCTCGGAAACACAATTTCGTGCAAGCGACAGAATTATCGTGATATTACTTAATGATTGAGACGTCTCATGATAACGCTCACTTTGAGCCAAGAAAGGCCTCGAAGATCGTTGTTGCCTTATCTTGTGAGGCTTGTACAGGGTGGCCAACTAAGAATGCGAGGTACTGTATCTGGCAAACTATCCAGCATAGGACTTGCGGCAAAAACTTGAATTACTAAAACGCCCAAGAGAAAAACCTGGAAAATATTTTCAAGTTTCTCAAATGACCGCTAGGGTGCGTAACTGCAATCTTGAATCTAAAAAGTGATTTTTCGGTGAATTCCGCTATATTAACCTAACAAAATAATACCTGATTTTTATTGTCGATGAGAATCTGATTCTTTTTTGTTCGACAATTTCTGCTGTATCTCTAAAAATAAAGTGGTGGGGGGTATTCGAAAGTTCCTGTAAAAAACACCCTGTATCTACGAAATGGCTTATCCGATTTTGACAAACTTGAAAAAATTGAAAAGAGCAATTCTCGGTCTACAAATGTTATAATATTTGAAGTTTTGTTAGTTGCACATGTCGCTGCTAGAGGTATTTTTTCGACATTCCGACAGAAATAGTTGATTTTCTCAAAAAAATCGAATGCATCGTTATGATTTTTTTCCATGGAAAGGATGCTTGATGATGCCTAAACAAGCTCGCGAAAACCGCTTCTTGATATCTTGTTCCTAACCTAAAATTTAGGACTTCTGGAATTTGGTATCCTTTCTTCATTTTTCAGATCAATATCACCCTTTTTGACAATATCAGAAAATTTCGTTAAAAGGTAAGTATAAATAATCCCCACATTGTTAGTTGAGTAGTTGTCAATAGTTCACTACTGAAAACTGAACATGAAAATGGTAGATTCAAGATAAAATAATGAAGACATCCTGTAACTCATTTGTAGACTGAAATCACTCATTCATATGCCAACATCAGTATGACACTGAAAAGTGTCGAACTATAACCAGCACAACTTCCAAAGAGAAATCTTTGCATTTTCATATGTTGAGTACGGAAGCAGATTCGGCACGAAACGTCCAAAGACAAGTAAAAATTCGATATTTTTTCAATATATCTATATTTCTTTCCTTCAAACATTTCTCAAACAAATTGTCCCTGACAAGCTACTGGATTTCTCTTTTAGGCTCCCTGATAGAAAATTTTGTTAAACGCAGTGACATTTTGGGGCAAATCATCTGATTTTTCCCACTTAAAATATATTGAAATAATATATACGCATATTTTTATTTGATAAAAACGAGGAGAGAAAATCCCAAAAAATCAAGTAAAATGAATGTATCACCTCCTCGATTAACCTACAGACAGTATTCGAAATTGAATTAGTTCACAAAAATGAAAATTCAATGGATTTCCGTATGAAATTTTCTTTGGATTCAATTTTAGATTAGGAACAAGATATCGAGATGCGGCTTTCGCGAGACTGTTTAGGCATCATTAAGCTCCCATTCCATGGAAAAAAAATCATACCGATGCATTTGATTTTTTTGAGAAAATCAACTATTTCTGTCGGAATGTCGAAAAAATCTCCCTAGCGGCCACATGTGCAACTAACGAAACTTCAAATATCATAAAATTTGTTGCCCAAGAATAGCTCTTTTCAACTAGCTTAAGTTTGTCCAAATCGGCTAAGCCGTTTCGAAGAAACAGGGTGTATTTTACAGGAACATTCAAATACCCCCCACCACTTTATTTTTAGAGATACAGCAGAAATTGTCGAACAACAAAGGTTCAGATTTTTATCGACAATAGAAATCAGGTATTTTTTTGTTAGGTTAATATAGCGGAATTCACCGAAAAATCACTTTTTAGATTCAAGATTGCAGTTACGCACCCTAGCGGTCATTTGAGAAACTTGAAAATATTTTCCAGGTTTTTCTCTTGGGCGTTTAAGTGATAAAATTTTTTCTCACAAGTCCCTACGATGTATAGTTTCCCAGATACAGTACCTCGCATTCTTAGTTGGCCACCCTGTACAGTTGAAATTGAAAGGTAATTTTTAATAGCCTTAGGAAGATCAAAACTAAGTTGAGGGGCACCATGTCTGAAGCTCGACTCAATGGCCTCGCATTGAACGATTTCGTCAACAAAGTGACCAACGAATTCGCAAAGAACCCTAGAAAATTATGTCTTTTAATTTTTCTTTTTAAACTCTTCTTATTTGATTGTGCTCTTTTGTTTTTTCATGCCCCCCCCCACATAGCTATTGACAGAGGTTATTCATTCTACAGGTGTATAACATATCTTCTATTGAATAATTCATTTTCATTGGCGGATGATTCAAACATTAGTGCCATATAGTGCCTATACCGACCCTACCGTAATCCGTATATTCACAGCCGGCTCCTTTAAAGATGGCTATGGTATATTTGACCTACCTGTACCCTATGAGGCAATGGCATACCCATATATGGTTAATTCCAAGGAAAATACCGAGTAACTAATTTAATGATTTATTTTGAGAAATTGATACTTGTGTAGTATTCAACTTTTAATTTAAAAAAGAGTTGTCCAGACGTTACCTAGCAATCGGGTGATATTATTTATAATACAGCGACAAAAAATTCGTATTTGGAACAGTACTTTATAATAGACAGATATAGGTACCTACTCGGGTACCTACGACATTAAACTGTATTATTTATTATTTATAGTGAAGGCGATACTGGAGTTATAACAGCAGTAGTGAATAATTATGCTGATCGATTATTCCAACATATCCAAACTTTTGCTGTTTCCCATAGTTTGGATCCCGTATACCTGGACGATATTAGCGAGAATGTAAGTTATTATGCCTACTCCACATAGAGAAAAATCAACGCGAGGCGTTTTGTCCAAAATATGGACTCCTTTATATTTCCAACAGATCTGACAACAAATTCTCCGATATCCTTAATTTGTTTTCCAAATATGATGAATGTTGCCTTAAATCTCCTTTGAATCCATGGAGTGCGGAATTTTGTCTTTGACCAACCCAGACAATTTTGTAATTTTTTTCCGTCCGGGACAAATTTCTTTTTGTTGTGACCAAAATGGCAAAAATGGACACAAGATCAAATGGAATGCTTGAGAATGTTTATCGAAAAATTAACAACTCCGTTGCCAAAATAAGTATAAGTTGATCCAATTTTGTTCCTTCTTCAGTTTCTAGGTTCTTCTCTCACTTTGAAAAATGGAACTCTGAATGGTATCTCGACTATCAGTAGATACAATGATGTCAAAGTTACCTATCAACATAATACAAGGAAGCTGGTGACGGAATTCCCTTTAATTTTTTCTAAACTGAACGTAAGTACAAAACATATAAGCAAGCGAATACCGACTGATAGTTGATGCAGGTATAGAATTGTCTATTATTCGAATATAAAAATCTGCATCTGAAACAACGATATACCTATAAATTCCAAATATATACAGTGTGGAGATTTTTTAACTGGAATGAATTCTCTAAGAATTTCTGAAATATGTTGACGTTTCAATGTATCCACCTACATTTTGCAAGCAATATGGAGAGTATATTCCTTCAAAAGTGGCTGAAACCACCCTCAACATGTATTTTTCAGATGCAATCCTATGGCTTGTGACCCCTCTGTGGGAAGCTGGTGGAAAGAGGAATCCAGCGTACTCATCAAATTTCAGTTTTTAGTACAGTTGGGAGTTGTATTAAATCGAAATGTTATTTTGGAATTCAATTCATTCTCAACGTAACGATTTCTCAAAATGTCTGTTGAACATCTTATTGCATTTTTTTTGACACAACTGATATCTGCTATTTTATGCCAGTGATTTTAAAAAGACGCAAAAATGAATCGCTAAAAAATTTTGTTGGAAACTAGTTGAAAATATATGAAACTTGAAAATTATACTACAAACTGTAATTTGATGAGTACGCTAGATTCCTCTTTCAAGCAGCTTTCCAATAACACACTGTATTTAATAATTAACACAGTACATCATAAGAATTGTGAAGAGGAGGAGAAACTGAATTGGGTTTGATGCTCTTCGTTTTTCCGCCACCAATTCTCATCGTATCAATCATCAACAGAAAGTTGAAAGTATGTCAATTTGAAGAGTATTGAGATTATGACACCAGTGTCAATTATGATTATTCGATATATTTCAGTCAAAAAATCGGTCGAAAGAACTTACTAAGTCTCGCAGTCCTTATAACGGATATAAAGGGTGAATTATCGGTTTTGAATAATCATTCACTCGTCCATAAGAATTAAACTACCCAGTAACATTTTCTCTAATTTGGTATGTATAGCTTATTTGGGAAGATGGATTCATTAACCTATCAGAGGCGGAATGGAAATAATTCCAAATAATTATAATTCGATAATTCACCCGTATCTCTGTTATAAAGACTGAGACTTTTCCTGAAGCTGAACCTGTATTTCCATTCTGCCTGATAGGTCAATGAATCCATCGTCCCAAGTAAGCTCAATACCAAATTTGAGAAAATATTACTGCGATGGGTAGTTTAATACTTATGGACGAGTGAATAATTATTCGAAACCGATAATTCACCCTGTATCTCTGTTATAAGGACTGTGAGACTTAGTGAGTTCTTTCGAACGATCATTCAACAAGAATATATCAAATAATCATAATTGAAAGCGGTTTCATAATTTTAATACTCTTCAAATTGACATACTTTTAGCTTTCTGTTTCTGATTGTTCCGATTGGAATTGGTGGCGGGAAAACAAAAAGCATCAAATCCGGTTCAGTTTTTCCTCCTCTTTACGATTCCTATGATGAACTCTGTCAATTATCACATACAGTGTGTTATTTCAATATTTCTAATGAATATAAAATTTTCCTGAAGCCGAACCTGGATTTTCACTTCGCCCGATAGGTGAATGAATTCAACGTCCCAAGTATAAGCTCCATACCAAATTTTAGGAAAATATACTGGGTAGTTCAATACTTATAGACGAATGAATGATTATTCGAAATCGATGAATCGCCCTGTATCTCCGTTATGAAGACTCTAAGACCTATCAAATATGGTATTTTCAGAACCACCTTGTACCACTATGTACCATTGCAATATTTCCCTTTATATGTGAAACACCCTGTATAATTTAAATATGCATGAATGCATCAATTTTTTGTTAAAATATGCTGTAATATTTCAAAAAACACACTTTGAATACCTTACAATTTCATGGAACGTTCGAACATAGCGTTCGGCGGCGCCAGTACTGACGTGTGATAATACCTTTTCCTGTGTTGCCAGCTGTTTTATTTCAAGGAAATATCAAGTAAATATTTATCAATTTAGAATCTATCCTACTGTGAACTGGTGAGATAATTTGATATTCATTGATGAAGTGAATGTCATCAATATCGTATGTTTATGGTATAGGTTGTTTCCCTCATTTCCAATTCTTCAAGTTTATAGTTGACATGATTAGTAATCGAGTGGGTTGTTTGTAGCACGTTTTAGGTTCGATCACCAGGGACGAAATTTGATTTACTTCTCAATTATAATATCATTATTCTCAGCTAGCAAATTTATTCCATTTCAAGTCTCCACCCTGTATACATATATCAAATTGGTAGGTACCTAAAGGTATCATGTCATGTTCATGAGTAATCACGTGGTGACCCTCTTTTATTTCATATAATTACGATTGATCAAGTATATTCTATAATTCATTAATAGCAGCTTTCTTGTGAAATTTGATGAAATATAAATTGTATCCTTCATCAAGAATTATATTTTGTGTTTTTTTTTAGTTCGTTTATCAGTATCATGTTCTCGTACTTTTTATCGGACCGAAGGGCGAGATGACCGGAAATATAGATAACTTCAAGGCCAATGTTCAACTTAGTTTCGATTTCAACACTTACACTGCAAAAATCGAAAAGTTAACAACAATGGATTCTGGGTAAGATCTACAACCCTCTTGGTGTTAGTTTCGAAAAATCTGTGAATAATTATTCATTTCATAATAAAAATAACATTCACAAAAAACATACAGCTTTTTTCACTGTAAAAATACGTTCATTCTTTGGGGGACATTATCAGTTATTATCACTTACAAAAACCTAGCTATAGATCTACGTTATAAAGACCGTATTTTTTATGTCGTTCTATTATTATTAGAATCTCAAAAACGGTGAATGATACGATACATACCATCAAAGATACAATCAATGTCCGAGCCAGCAAAGTTGGATAATTTTCGAAGCTGGAAAATTAAAAAATTACATTGAATTGAGTTTGGTAGAGAAACACGATTTTTTATTAGTCGTGAATCGTGAATAGATAGACGAAATGCGAGAAATATATACAGAGTGACCCATTTGAAAGCGGGCCACCCCTGTATCTCACGTAATCGTTGGGTAAGGATCATGAAATTTGCTGGAGCGAGAGATATACCAAAAATGCACTCTATGACCAAGTGGGGTCATCTTCAGTGATATACACTGCTCGCCAACAGCCATGGAACCACCCCAATTTCCGGAAAATGATATTAGGAGTCAAAATAGGTTGAAAATCACTTCGGATTCGGAATCAGGACGCCCAATTCACTAACTCTTCATATTTTTCCTTGAAAATTTTCAGTTCTGAAAAATTAAATTTTGTCGCACTTTTCACGGAAGCACCCCCGTATCTCACGTAATTGACTTTATCTTTGCACTTTCCGTTCCTCCTGCAAATTTTAGAACCCTACCTCAATAATTACGTGAGATACGGGGGTGCTTCCATGAAAAGTGCGACAAAATTTAATGTTTCAGAACTGAAAATTTTCAAGGAAAAATATGAATAGTTAGTGAATTGGGCGTCCTGATTCCGAATCCCAAGTGATTTTTATCCTATTTTGACTCCTAATATCATTTTCAGGAAATTGGGGTGGTTCCATGGCTGTTGGCGAGCAGTGTATATCACTGAAGATGACCCCACTTGGTTATAGAGTGCATTTTTGGTATATATCTCGCTCCAGCAAATTTCATGATCCTTACCCAACGATTACGTGAGATACAGGGGTGGCCCGCTTTCAAATGGGTCACTCTGTAGGTACCACCTATACATACTGAATGCATTCAGATATCCTTGCAGATATATAAGTACTTGATTGCATAAACAATTCTAAACTGCGCGACAAATGAAGTGGTCAACCTGAATATTTCACTTAATTTTGAAATCAAATATTATGAAAAATACTAGTCCGATTCTGGAACGGTTTGTTCCATATTGTGTTATATTCGTTGAAGAATGAGATGGTCTACCTACTCTGCCCATGAAGTTCCAGTTTCCAGAACTACAGGGAGAAACATTGGCCCATTACAAAAATGAATATTTTCAAAGTTATCCCAATCATATGGAATCATTTTCGGATTCTTTTCTAAGGCATATTATGAATGCTCGATATGTTTTGCCGATACGGTTTCGAGATTTTTTCATTAACATGCTACATCTTTTTTAATGGAAAATTGACGTTTTTTTGAAATCTCCTCAATTTCAGCTGATCTGTTTATGCAATAAAAGAGTTTTTTCATGAAATCGATTCAGGGAGGAATTCATCACTTAAATTTCTTTGAATTGAGCGAATATCGATCTACAGGGTGATTCGAGATACCGAAGAAACGGGAAATTCAGTCATGCATATTATGATTTGAACTTTGAATGCTTCGTATTCCTGTTATCATTCTTGATCCCCTGATGGCATGTCAACATAATTTTTTCTCGAATATTTAAATCGTTATACCATTCAAGAATGATTCAGGAAGAGTGGGATAGAGAATGCCACGCCAATTTGTACAAAGGTTAGTAAAGAGCTTATCATCAGGATGTCGTACTAAATACTAAAATTTCCTGATGTGTCAGTACATCGGATGAAAAACAAATGTCTGCATGGAAGATAATGTTATTGAAACTAAATCATGTGGAAGCAATAATTCTCAATAATCCTTGTATATTACAGACAACAATGAATGGTGTGGCGAACACTTATATCAATGCATAATATAGCTCCTGAAGAAAATTTCGATACAAGAGGATTGAGGTTACAACTCTAGATCACTGATTTGACATTCAGAAAGGAATTAAACGACATGATTTCAATATTGGACAGAATGTTCTGTTAACATGTCATCAGTAGGTCAAAATGATAACAGGAATGATATAATTCATTCTACAACAATATAGAGCGTTTCAAAGGTGAAATCACAATATGCATAACTGAATTTCAAGTTTTTTGGAATCTCGAATTACGCTGTATTCGCTCAATATCAAAGAAATTCAAGTGATGAATCCCTCCCTGTACCGATTTCATGAACAGATCAGCTGAAATTGAAGACATTTTAAAAAACGTCAATCTTTCATTAAAAAAGATGTTAATGAAGTATGCTAGCGGAAAAATCTCCAAACCGTTTCGGCAAAACATATCAAGCATTCATAATATGCCCTAGAAAAAAATCTGAAAATGTTTTCATATGATTGGGATAACTTTGAAAATATCCATTTTTGTAATGAGTCAATGTTTCTCCCTGTATATCTGAAAACAGAAACTTCATGGACAGAGTAGGTAGTCCATCTCATTCTCGACCGATTATTCCACAACATGGAACAAACCGTTCCAGAATCGGACTAGTATTTTTTATAATATTTGATTTCGAAATTAAGTGAAATATTCAAGTAGACCACTTCATTTGTCACGCAGTTTATTTCGCTTTCGATTAACCATAACCGACTATTAATAGATTGACAATATATTTCAGGCACATTTCCCTGACATTCCATGGACAAGGTCTGGTTGATTTAGTAGTGAACATCCTGTCCGAATTCGTGACCACAATTCTACATCCTCTTCTCACTGCCATAATTGAAGGAAGAGTGAAGGATGCTGCTAGCGCTACTGTTAACCAAGTCAACAATTTCATTGGAAATTTGCTTCATCCAAACTCGACTCATAACAATACTTATATTTACTAAGAGTTGTGTGAAATTTTAGTTTCGAAGAATATATTTATACGTTCGTTTATAACAATAATAATCAACGTTTTCATGAATCAGCCTGTATAATTGAAAATATATAATAAATTTATATTTTTTTATTTGGTATTTTTCTTAAATAATTTCATTGTGTAGGGTAAGCAGTACATTTTGTATACCCAGAGTATGTAGAAAATTAGTTATTTTTGTATCTAGAGCGCGAAATGCTACTTTGGTGATCGAAATCTGATTTTAGCCGAGTTAAAAAAAATTTCGAGATAACCAAAGTATTTCGCGCTCGAGTTGCAAACACCATTTTTTCTACAAACGTCAAACAATATAGTTCTAAAGTAAAAATAAGCTTAGCTTAAAAGGCCTCCCTCTATCGTCCCTAGGTACAGGGTGATTCACCATTAAATGTCCCCTCCCTCTAGCTCATCTAAAATGATTTTCGATGGAGTTTTTTTACGCTACATCAGAAAATACAAGGTGCTCGGAACAAACGATCTACAGGGTACTATTTGATTTTTTTAAATGGAACACAAGCAATGTTCGGAAGTTTGACCAGAAATTATGGAAACATTTTTACTTGAAAATACTCCTACTCTTGCTTAGTTTCCATAGCATCAACCATTTTCGAGATAAATCTATTTCAAGATATAACTGTGTAATAAACATAGTGCTTTTTTTCAACATACACTTTTTTATGAAACATAACGCCAATTGACAGTCATATGTCCGAGATCACCTTTCGCCAAAGTACTATAAGGAAGATTTTATTGGGTCTCAACACCAACAAAGCTTGTGGCTCCGACGGAATCCCACCGATTGGTCCCAAACTAACACCTGTTTTCTGCAAGTTGTTCAACTACTCTTACAAATTGGGGATATTCCCGTCCAACTGGAAAATTGCAAGAGAACAACCAGTTCCTAAAAAAGGCAAAAAAAACCCTACCTAACAACTACAGTCCGATCGCACGACTGCTATCTATTATTTCAAAGATCATGGAGAAAGCTATTAACATCGAGCTCATGAAATACCTGGAACATTCAGGTATTACCAACGATAGGCAATATGGCTTCCATCATCAGAGATCAACTGCTGACCTGCTCGCTTACGTCTCATATATATGGCAGCAACCTATTGAAAACTATGGTGAAACCTTAGCCATGGCACTTGATATCCAAGGCGTTCAATCGAGTCTGGCACCACGGACTCCTCGCCGAGCTTTCATCTTATGGCTTGCCTCCCCAGCTATGTTCTCTGTTAGCTAGTTTTCTCTCAAACAAATCTCTCCATGTAGTGGTCGACGGAGTTTCATCTGACTCTCTTATCATAAATGCTGGTGTTCCGCAAGGATCAATTCTAGCACCAACACTATTTCTACTCCATATCAAAGATTTGTTGGATGCAACTTCATATCCAGTACACAGCTTCGCGGAAGATAGTACCCTCCATACCGACTTCTCTTCCAGGGCTCCAATACCAGCCAGGCAAATCAGAATCGAACGAGGGAAAAATGTTGACAACTTAAATATGGACTTGGCAACAATTCTCGAATGAGGATCCAATGACTTAGATTTCGATGCAAACAAAACACAAGCATGCTTGTCTCCAGAAAAGCCGACCTCACTGTGCCCATCATAAGCTTGTCAGGAGTAACCATACCTTTGAAGACATTCATTTCGATGCTTTGGTATTACTATATCAGCAATAACCTTTCTTGGGAAAATCACGTGAGATCAATTGCTAAAGGTGCATCCCAAAAACTTGGTTTTCTGTTTCGGGCCAGGATCTATTTCACTTCCGGTCAGCTGCTTATGATCTATAAGGCACAGATCCGACCTGTCCTGGAATACTATTTTCATATTTGAAGTGCAGCACCCAAACATACCCTGGAACTGTTGGATTCTGCCCAAAAAAGGGAAATTCGTCTCGTGGGTGATACCTCGCTCACAAACTCACTCACTTCTCTGGAACACCGTACTCACCGTAGAAAAGTTGACGATCTGGCTGTATTTCAAAGATATTTTCATGGACGTTGCTTTTCTGAAATAGCAAAAATTGTTTCTCCCTTGGCAGTCCCCGCGAGATTAATCCGTCGAGTTGAGGCTTCGCACTCCTTCGTTGTCACTTTGGAGACCTGCAGAACATCTCTTTCCAAAGACTCGTTTATCCAACTACCAGCGAGGCCCTGGAACACATTGCCAAGGGAGGTGTTTCCCGAGGCATAAAACCTCCAGAAATTTAAAAAGAACACCAATTCCTACCTTATTTCCCTTGATTCTAACGATGTTCTCTGAACATTACAGGATATTCCTTTTCGTGGGAAGCAGAACACAAAAAAACGCAGCAACCTTTTAAAATCGTGCTTTACAAACTGAAGAAGAACATCATTTTTGAGTAAAAATTATATTTTCTCATTTCCTAGTCAAATTGCTGAAAATAGCAATAACAAAGATGTTAGAGGAATTAGTGCCCTCAGGCCTACCTATTTCCCACGTCCCTGATTAAAATTTCGAAAAATTGAGCATAAAATGTTAGATAGATGTACGAAAGTTGGTTTTTCTACAAGCGTGCGTGATTCACCCTATACCCGCACGCAATTTAGTTTGGGAAAATTTTCCCCACACTAGTGCGGGAAATTTGTATCAGCACTAGTGCGGGAAAAATAATGATATGATAATATGGCGAAATATAAGTGGTAGGTCCAGGTAGCCGTGCGGACAGAGTGTCTATATTCTAATTTGCATTCGCTTGCCGGTCGTGGGTTCGATTCCCGTCGACTGCAGAAAATTTTTTGATGGCTCTAGAAAGTGTTTGGGATCACACGTTGAAAGGTATGGCCCCCGTCATTCCTTGCTCGCACAAGACTCTCGAAGACTTCTGAGGGTTGCTCGTAAGGGGGCAACCGAATGACGGATAGAACAATTTTAGAACAATTTTTTTCAATTTTTTAGGTGATGGAATATAAGAGTTTGAGTTTGTTGTTGCAGTATTAAGTATGTATGTTCAGAATCATCCACCAATTTGCACTATTTATTGTGAAAATTAAGAAATATTGATAAATAAAAATTGATTATTATAAAAATCACCCTATAGATTTGGATTGATCTGATGAGGAACGATCATTGTTGTCATGCCAATCAAACCTCAAATGAGTTTGTTATTGTCGAAGTGACAGACACAGTGTTACTGTCATTTTCGATTCAGTGGAATTGCAACAATGTGATCAAAAACTTCCAGCTAGGGATGGGATACACTGGATACAGATGCGTTATTGCTAACGAAGTCTTAAGAAAGGTATGAGAAGCTATCCACGCGTTTTATTGAATGGTGCAACAATAAAGAAATGAAAATACCGAATAAAAGACGAGGTATTTTTGGCTCATTCCCTAGAAGTGTCTGAAACCTAGAGACCATGATACAAACACCTTATAGGCCTGCTGGCTTCCGCAATGAACCTGTACATAATGCGTCAAACTGTAAGTTCACAATAGCTATTACTAATATTCAGTAGATAGAGAATATATTTCTCTCTAATATTCAGTAGATAGAGAATATATTTCTCTCTCTTGTTAGTTTTTCCTATTTGAATGAATAATTAATTGAACAAATCTATCAATTTCCTACGCTTGTAGAAAAAATATTGTTCCTAACTCATGCGGAAAGTGTCTTTCCCGCACTCGACTGCTTGCCCGAACTCCGCTTCGCGTCGTTCGTGTCAACGGCAGTCGCGTGCGGGAAAGAATCACTTTCCGCACTTGTTAGGAAAATTACTATATTCACAGAGGGTTTCGAAAATATTTACAAAAAATGATCATCTCGGGCACCCCATTAAATGGCTATAACTCCCCTGGAAGCCATTTCTGGATCCGTATTTTTATCTAAACTTTTTCTACCTTTTTTTTTCTATAGAATCTGTGGTTAAAATGTTTCCATGATATTCCGGGACATCCTATATAGATGAAATATTATTGGGAAAATTCGTCCTAGAAAATATCAGATCTGAGATCTGAATGCTGATTTGACCAACTGTTATCGCCATCGATATTTCGACAACAAACACAATTATCAGATAAGAAATTCTATTATTATTGTCAAATGAAACGTTTAGTATAGTTTTGATCTGATTTTAATCTCGCACAAGTAGGTGTCATCAGAGAGAACTGATAAAAAAAGGCAAATAATTGCGAGATTTCATCTGTGTTTATATCCGTTTTTCTAATCAATTTGAGAAATAACACGTAGTATTTTTGATAAATTTCAACAGTATCGACAGTCCCGTGATAGTCAAAAAGATTGTGTTTTTCCACGTCAGTATACGGAAGAAACATTCTCAATCAGAAATCTTGATTTCTAAACTCCTTCGATTTTTATGTTCAAGATCTTGTAATTGCTGGCATTGGCATTTGAGCATAACGCGTAATAGTTATTTGTTTTACTAGGCAGCAAAGTAGTAGATTCACTCACGCTGAGCGCAACGAGGCTAGCAATTCACCCAAGGCAGGCAAACTATATTTGCTGCCGTGTGAAACATATCATTTCTTCTCCATATGTAATAAAACCAATTTTTTTGTCGACTTCTTCAAAAAATCAAATTTTACGTTCTAATTTCCGAACGAAAAACCAACTATTTCCGAAAGCAAGTACTTTTCGTCCGTAGACAATAACTTTTCGTCCGCTGCAGGGTTGCCAGTTTCACTGAATTTTCAGTAGATCACCTGATTTGCACATTGATCTACTGAACTACCTACCGAAACCTTTCATAATCTACTAAGAAATATTTTGACACCTATTTATTATTATAATTTCCTATACTATTAATAATCTTCAGTCAATCACATACACTTACAAATTGCATGATATTTCGGCACGCTCTGTTTACATTAAATTTATAAAATAGATAATAAATATACAGGGTGAACAACTAAGAATGGCTGCCGGCCATACCTCAGCAACGAATAATGATACAAGTTTGAGATAGAATAAATCTGATGGTATGCATATCATTACACGATGTAATAGACAAACTAAATCTCAATAGACCAACGAACACCGCAACGTTATAGCTTTTCTATAACGGAAGATATTAATACTATCAAAGTTGGAAGAATGATAGATATGACAGCCGTTCTTAGTTGTTCACCGGGTACATATAGGTACTAATGATAAATGAACAAACCCAAAAAGGACAATACTTTATCTGATTTAGATCGATTTCAATTTTTTATATACCTCTGTTATAACAGTTTGTTTCTTACGTTTAATTTTTTTATTTGTTTCGTATTTTTGTTATTCATCTTTACTATTCGGTCCTGCTTCTATGTATTCAAATCTGATAAGTACCTATATAACTGTATTATGTGATATTTGTGAATATTTTAGGAATAATAATATGATTATATTTTTATGAGATTGTTTGTTTTGTTTGTTTTCATTTTGTTGGAAATAGGTTACTAAAAGTACATAATGTTTTGATGTCACAGATTTATTTCATCATCCTTTCAAACAGATCTATTGAAATCTACTGAATTTTTAACAAGGTATTTACTGACCGAATAAAAGTCGAAACTGGCAACCCTGGTCCGCGCGGTGAGTGGAGTTGACAACAATAACTGTCATTTGCTGATTTCAAAATTGATTATTCACGAAATCCGATAGATTTCACGTATGAATACGACCGTGACGTGAATGTATATGTGTTGGGTTGACGAAAAAATGTAGTATGCACCTCGGCGAAAAACTGTCTATTTTCTAGCCTGATTGCTAGCCTCGGCTATCAATTTGCAGACTCGACTATAATACACAGTGTTTCGTCCGTGGTACATAAATAACTATTGTGTATTTCTTTCATTTTGTGAGCCAATGTCAGTGTCAATTTTGATTACTAATTCCATTCAAATTACTTGGAACGTTGCATAGCAACAAACTTTTCCTGCCTAGGCAGAGAAGGTATACTTTTCCTGCATGTCAAGTGTCATAGAAAAGCCACTTTCTATGCCGCTTGGACAAAAAAATAATATTTCAGAATACTTTATTGAAATCATCAGGACACGGAATATTCAGATACGTTTTTCAAACCACTAAGATTCTTTCTTCTGGTCATTTCCTTCACCATCCCCATTTTTTGCAGTCACCTCAACATTCTTCCCAGCATCATGAGTCTCGGCTTTTCTCTGTTTTACACCTTCTTCAGTATCTTCACCAATCTCTTGAGTACTAACCTCGTTTCCAGTCAAATCCACAGCAGTCTTGCTGTGATCGACATTACACAGATGATCGATCTTAGCGTTGATGTGAGCGACAGTGTTGATTCTCTTCTGTAGCTCGTCCTCATCTAGATCAGCGTCGTCACTAGGACTGTAGAGTCTCTTCAGGTTGAGATTCATCAGTTCGATTTGCACCTCCATGATCTCTCTTATTATTTCCACGCAAACAGCTTGGTAACAACTCGGACGAACTTCACGCAAGATCGTACTGAGGGTTTCTAGGGTTTCGTATCTTTTCTTGTGAACGTCGTACTGGGAGTCTAGATCTTTCTCGTAAAACGCTAGGTATCTGTACAACTCGCTGAGTTCCAAGATTATATTGACATACTGTAGGGGGTAATCTCTGAGCGTGTAAAAGAGTCTAGCTCTCTTTAACCATTTGTGAGTGTGGGTAAAGAGTTCTCTTGCTTCTTGGATGTTCTCGATTTCTTTGGCAGGGATCGATGGGACTTTGACCTCTACGCCGACGAATTCATAAGAAGGCTTGGTACTGACAGGTACGTCTGGCTTCTTGATTTCTTCAGAATCCTCCCACATTTTTTGAAGGATCGACTTCTTGCTGATGCTGAAGAGTTGTAATCCATAGTTGACCTATATTCAAGGAAACATTTTGATATTAATGATAAGCTCAGGTCCATAAAGACACTGTGACTTACCCATACTCGAGCCATTTCAGCTTGAGTTTTAAACAGCAAAATATTAGGCGTCATTCCGACTTCTAGGGGATCCAAAACAGTCTGAGCAGCTGTCAAGTGGTACCTAGCGTTCTCCCATTTATCCTGAGACAAAAACAATGAAGCGAGTCTATAGCATCTCGTTGCCCACATGATAGGATCAGTATCATCCAAATCCATTTCTTTCTGAAGACTTTTGTGGATTATATCGGCATAGAGATCCCCTTGACCTTGTTTTCCGTATATCCAACCTAGCATCTGCATATTGTTGATCATCAATTTCTCTACCTTGGTTTTGTCCAGGTTTTTCTCGTTTTTCATTCTGGTGAATAGATCTTCAGTACTGTATACGTTAGGCTCACATTTCAGTTCACTTAGAACGATGCTTTCAAGATGAGATTTGGCGCTGTCCAGATCTCCCATCCTGGTATGAACGAAAGAAAGATAATTGATGATCCTCATATAAAGAAACGATATCTGCGGGTTATCCATATGACCTTTTATCAGGCCCAGTGCCTTATCCAAATACTCCTTGGATTTTTCGAAGTTGTTCGTATTCAAAGACATCTTGGATTTTTCGTAGAGGATAGACCCCACCATGGACAGAACCAGGAAGTAGTCTGATGATTCGGTTTTCAGTTTTGTGAGAATCTCTTCGAGTTTGGACGCTACAAGAGAAAATTCAGTTTCCAAAAGGTTTGCGTCATCTTTTATGATACCATCACCTGAATCTTGGACTTGCTGTTCATGGTGTTTGTTAGAAGATGAAGGAAGGTGGAGTTTGATCTTCTGGAATTGCTGTTTCAATTCAGTGAATATCTCTTCTGGCAAAGAATCCATTTTGAAGCTTAGTGATCTGACACGATAATTTTTGACAATCACTTTTGAAAACTGTTAGTAATACAAGGTGATAGTTTCGACACATTATTGACAAATAACCGAATTTGATTACTATCATCATAATAGGTTTTTTACAATTCTTGCAGAAAATTAATGTATTTGACAGTCGATTCGTGGGAATGAGTCCAAATTAATTCCAATGTGATACAACCATCCGCAACAATAGTCAGGTTTCGATTCGTATTCCATTATTGGTTCTGCCAATGATGAATAGTACCTAGTCTATGTGGTTAGTTTCAACAATGCCTCTGTTTGTTACTTCTTCAAGTTCTTCTGATAACTGTAACTGAAGATCTTGAATCACCAGATGCAATTTCATATCAAAATGGTCAAATAATATTTGTTCATGTTATGTTTTACTATTTTACACAACGCTTACTGATGAATTCATGGAATGAAGAAACTAGTATGGGTTCATCTGCTTCAATGACAATAATGGAGAATTTCATTATCCAACAATAAATATGAAATTATTCTAGCACAAATTTTATCCTTGTACTTTGATATAATAGCTTGTTCACATTAATCTATCAAAGATAAAACATAATATCTTGATGCATTCAATATTATAAACACCTGTTGATATTTTCAAAGTATGTAGTGTTTATTCAGATTATTTTCCTACAAAAAAGCAATCCACTATGATGAAGTTCTGTGTTATATTGTTTGTTTTAATAAACTCTTTGCTAGCTTCTTCAGTGGAAAATTCAGCATCTTCATCGATTGAAGATGTAGCTTCTTCATCAATAGAAAATTTGACATTCGAAAATCTGGAAGATGTTGAGTTTGCAGTATCTAAGGAACTTGAGGAGAAATTGTTGGCAGCAGTCCAAGGCGGGTAAGAAATAAATGCACCAAAAGTTAATAACAATATTGACAATTTATTTTTTGTACTCATTAAATCAACACAGATTGTTTCAGAACAATTGTCAGAAAATGAAGTTTATATTACCATGATTCCACGAAGTACCGTTTTCAAGATGTTAAAAATATAATCTTCTTACAGTGTTTTTTGACGATATATCAGGAACTGTATGAGATAGAAATTTATATCTACTATTTGAGTTCTAATATATTTGTTCACATGACATATATTGACGCAGATTTCAGAGTTGCGTGAGTTTCTTTGACACTAGAGCATTCCCACAAAAAAGAATCTATGTTTAAAAGCTCCAACTCCAGAATTTTAGAGAATAAGCTGCATTCCATGATGAAGAACAGAAAATAAGTATAGCAACTTCATCACAATTTTATTGTACAAAACTATAAGCGAATAACAATCATAAAACATATATCCAAGAACTCATCATAATCTCAAAAAGTCCAATACCTACCTACTCTTCCTATTCTCCTAAGGCACGAGCACGATGTTTTCCGAACATTATATATCAGTGGCATGCAATGCTACTCATGTTAGGGTAGGCAAAAATTAAAAAATGTGGAATGCAAAAAACAAAGGTGGAGATGATCGAACATTGAACAGTTCCACTTCCGTAGTAAATCCTGACATGTTGCCTATTCACAAAACTTGATTGCGAATGTTACCAATAATTGTCACCAGTCGCCAAATTCGATTTAATGTCGAATTTCACCAACAAAAAAATAGCCGTAAATGCGATAAATCGCCTCACCTGGCAACACTGAGTCCCTGACCGTATGCCCTCTTATTATTGTTCGTACTCGCTCGGGTGCCCGACCGGTGGAAATCGGCCCCGCTCTGCTTCGCCACGGCTCGAGTTTCGATGGCTTGCAGGTCGAAGTCAATGCTTTTTCGCTCCATATGGATTTCTATTGATCAGCGCAATTGCTTTGCTTTCATTTTAAATGGTATATGCTTATTGGCTTACATAGAGTAGAGCGCTAATAGGGGCGACGCAGCGGGTGGTTTATATTAGTTTTTACGGATTATATTGTAGTGTGTGAGATTAATCAGACATATATAGTAGATCTGTTTTTCATTTAAAAAAAAATATATAGGTATCCGCATAAGAAAATTGTGTAAAAAATTGTCGTGCTTCCTAAATCCCATGCATAAGTCGAGTTGAGTAACTCAAACGGTTCCTTAGATATCGTAATAAAAACTGAAAAGATCATTATTCGTGTTATTTCTTAGAATCTGCCATCAACAAATTATTATATCCTTTATTTTCAGACACGTTTTGAATTACATGCACCGTATAATGTAGACTTTCGCTCCCTCATTTGAGAAAACAAAGCTTTGTTATCCTCCTAGATGTATCTATAGTAATTGGAAAATATTTTACAAACGATCAGATTTTCCAAAACTTCTCAATCAACTCCTGATTTATTCGGATGTAGAAGTTTTTGTGAAAATGTAAGAAGAGGTTCTCAAATGGGATTGAGTAAAGTTCAATTCAAACCAAATTTGCATATTTTTCCATATTCGAAAACTGAAGTAATAGAAAAAACGTCATTACTTCAGTTTCCTAATATGTATGTACACCTTCATTCAATGCTATTCAAGAATTTCTTTCCACATTTTGTCTACCGTTGTTCCTTTTATTATAATTCAGCTTCGTCATCGAGTTTTGACTTTTTGAGAATTTTGCAGGGGGAGTGTTACATCAGTCATCGATGAATACGCTGATGAAATCTTAAAGAACGTAGCTGAGCTCATCATTTCCAATGGTTTTGATCCAGTGGAACTCCCAAATGCCACTTTGAACGTAAGTTTGAAAAAATATGGGGTTAAAAGACACCTACTTTTAAAAATGAATCTTCTCAAGATGCAGCTATTTCTTTGGAGCACCATCAATGATCATAGCGGTAAAAGAGTGACAGGTTCGCGGTTCGCGACATTTTATCAGTGCTCTAGTGTTTGAAACTAAGTTCAAAAGTAGATAAGCTATAAGGCTACGATAACAAAATCCCATGTATTTTCTGATAGGTGTTCAATATTTTGGTATTGGTATTGGTAGGAGCAAACCACCTCTATATTATTTAATAGATATGGGTTCGATGGTGACAGATGCGCTGCGACCTAATTAGATCTATTGTACCCCATCTGCTTATCAAGGATTTCTTGTTCATAGCAGAACCTCGAGATTCAATTCCTTCAGGAATTTGAGGATTTTGTGGTATTTCTTCCACAGTCAGCTGGAGTGTTCCCAGTATGTTCAATCTTTTGTGAGGTACAGCGTCACACTCTATCAGTATGTGATGGGGTGTTTCTGGTTCTTCCTCACAGAATCTGCAGGTGCCGTCCTCCTGTGAACCTAGCTTTCTTAGGTGTTCTTTGAGTCTGCAATGCCCCGTTAGAAATCCCGTTATTGCTTCGAGACTTTCTTAGCTGAGGTTTGTCAGTGTCTTAGATGTTCAATAAGGAGTATTAAGGAGTTTGATGATATATGCGAACCAATGTATGTAATAGGCAGAGCTTTCCTCTTTATGCACCAGCGCGGGGCATTCAGCAAGTATGTGCCGTAATATTTCATATCTTCTCCAAGCACCATCTGCAGATGGGATCATATTCGATCCCTATGAGCTCCAGGTGTCTGTTGAGGTGGTTGTGTTCAGTTAGGAGCCGACCCACCATCTTGAGATCCCTTCTGTTAGTCGAAAGGACCTCTCTCGTGGGCCTTCTTGGAGGTTCTTTTATATGGGGCTTTAGTTGTCTCATTCCTGGTGTGTCCCACCATGGTACAAGAAACTGCCTCCCCAGTATCGGTTTTGGTCCAATGCGAGTCGTTCCTAAACCGATCATAGCCAAGGAATTTCGAGTGTTGTTTTTTCCTTTGGATAATACTAGACTACTTTATATTCTTTTGTTCATTAATTAGTGATTTTTGTTTGAAATTTTCCAGGAACAATTTTAGAACAATTTAGAATTAGGGCTTCGCGAGACCAAGAGTCTTGATACAAGTTAAATACCAAGACTTAATAAATCTTCCCAAGACCAAGACTTGACTTTCGAGACCACGACCAAGATCAGGTCACAGTGGTCCATACCTCCTCCTATTGAAGATAGAAACAAATTTAATACAAGAGTTATTTGGTTTGAATTCGAAATTTTTTCAAATATTTCGATAATGCGTTGTCAGTTCCGACCCTTTCGAACCTTTTTTCTGGCCTGTCGGGCATTGGCCTGTGTGCTAGTTGGGTCTCATTTAATGTTTTTTCAAGGTTTCCTAAAAATTATATTCTTATATGGTAAAAGGAGAAATTCATTTCGCTCACTTTATACGCACAAATTGACAATATTGAAGACTGAGAAATACGAAATACCAATTATATGCATATGAACTGTTGGATATTTGAATTGTATGATTCAAAATTCTAGACGCATTTTGATCCAAGATCAAGACTAAGATATCAAGACTATCAAGACCAAGACCAAGACTGAGCTAGTCTCGTCTTGGTCTTGAAACTTCAAGACCAATACCAAGACCAAGACTACATTCATCATATTCCGAGACCAAGACTACATTCATCATATTCCGAGACCAAGACTGATCAGTCTTGGTCTTGGTCTCACGAAGCCTCATTCAGAATATAGGCATTGATTATTGAATATCAATACCTTTTAACAAGAATGAAAGAAAATACATGGGATTTTGTCTCAGTTGCCTTATAGTTTATCTACTTTCGAAGCAATTCATATAGTCCTTTAGTAAAATTTGTATATCGCGACTTTGAAGTTGGGATCCAATTCCCCAGAAGTCGAAACTTGTATGCGGGGTTAGGAAGAGCGAGACCTACGCAGCTCACAGTGGAAACCGAACCACTTCAAGGGCATTATTGAGACCAACCACTGTGTGAATATTATGATTGTCTTTAAGAATGGTCTGTTTTCTTTTCAGCTAATTCCGACTGGTCATATATTTATGACCGAAGGTTGGTTACAGGATTTGTCGACGATCTCGAGATTCGAAAACGTAACATCAACTTATAAGTCGTCCGAAAGATTGCTTATAGTAGCTCTTCCTCTCAAATTCGATGCATTATTGGTGAGTTATAAATATGTGAATACTACATTGTTTCATCTTTGCCTTGAATTATTCACTCTTCTACTCTTCTACCTGAGATTATCAAAATGTTATTCAAGTAGTGATAGCTGAATTTTCCCCTGAGTTTAATAGTTTAGTTGCTTTAACTCTTCCACATTATCTCTAATAACAATATCTGTTGGAGTTTTAATGAATTATTGGTAAAAAAAGAATTATTGATTGAATATGAAAACAAGAAATCATCCCCAAATATACTTAGTGATCCACTATACACTGTTCTACCACTAACCAAACTGATTTTTCATACGTCTCGACACGTGTTTTGCTAACTATGTTAGCATCAAGAATAAAACTGCAGTTTAGTAAGCGAAACAGGTGTCGAGGCGTTTCAATCACCGGTTTGGTTAGTGTTAAAACAGTATAGAAAATTATCGTGTCATAGTTTCCAATCTACGATATACCTCTATATGTACTTCGTGATGATTTTGTGTTTTGCTCCTATATCATCAGTCCACCCCACTAAGAGAATGGATTTTTCCATGATAATTTGATTATTATTTTTTAGTTCACTTACAAATACCATACAGAAGTATTGCTCCTCAATCTCAGGGGAGATGTCAATGGCAAATTGGAAAAAGTGAAAATGCGTATTACTCTGCAATTTGATTTCAACACTTACAAAGCTGAATTGAGTCAATTTGATATGAGCGATACTGGGTAAGTAATTTAAAAATGCACTGCCTACCAATTGAATCATATATCTGTAGCTTTCAAACGTATTCGAGTGCCGAATTAGTGATTATCCTCAATTGCAAACACATTGAATTGAATCATGTACCTACCTAGATATAACAAGTTCATATGCAAGATTTATATTTTTTGCCAATACATATAAGAATCTATCCATCTTTGGGTAACAGCATATTATCGTTTTATTACAATGTCAACTAATGAAAGTTCCATCTGTTTCTGGTTTTGGGGAAACTGAGGAATGAGGATGAACATCAAGCCTAATCAGAACTGAAAATGTTGTTTCTTATTGGTTCTAATTAGGACTTCTTCTTCTTTTTCTCTGCACGGGTTGGCGGGTGCAATAAAGAATCTTGCACTTAGGCCTCTTCAGTCGGACCCATTGTGCACCCACATGACCTGCGAATCAGCTGTGCATACCAATTTATTTAACGAAATTCAGCAGCTTCTTCAGCTGAATAACTTTCACATCCGGAGTGGAGTACAATGCTCCGAAATGCAGCCTTCCTCTGATGCACCAGCGCGGAGCAATCAGCAATGATGTTTCACATCATACTCCATCAAGCACCATCTGCAGTTGGAAGTATTTTTGACTCCTATGAGCTCCAGATGTCTGTTGGGGTGGTTGTGTCCAGTTATAGGAACACAACCACCATCTTGAGATCTCTTCTGTCAAGTGACAGGACCTCTCGCAACTCCTTGAATGTTCCTCTGTATGGAGCTTTGATTGTCTTCATTCCTGGTGTGTCCCGCGCCATGTTTCAAGAAACTGCATCCCCAGTATATCGGTTCTGGTCCAATGGGAATCGTTCCTGAACCGATCTTAGCTTAGCATTAGGACTTAAGAATCAGTACACAGTTTATGAGTACAAAAGATTGTTAACTGGCAAGTATTCACAAAGTTCTCGATCATGTTCAGATCATAGGCATATATACGATTTGACATGAGAACAGGACACCAACCAATGGTACGATTTCGTGATCCTAAAAGTGCACGGACTGGAATGGATATTGTGAATCTCTCCGAGGTACCTAGATCCCGGAATCAGTACTATTGAAAATAGTCGATATCGAAGTAGCAAATGAGCGTGAAGCAACCGCCATTCTAACGGGCTATCAGGAAAACTGCCCATTAAAGGAGAAGAAAGACCATAGAGGTACATCTTGGTGGAGCAAGAGTCTGGACAAAAAAGACAAGAAGTTCGGCGTCTCTTCAATCTAGCTAAAGAAACAGGTTGCTGGGACACGTACCGACATCTCTAACGGCTTATAAAAAAGAGGTAAGAGAAACCAAAAGAGAGTCTTGGCGGAGGTTCGGTCAGAGTATATCAGACGTACCTGCCAGCATGAGAACTCACAAGGCTCTCTCCATAGATCCGAGCCAAGAGATCGGCTCGATAAAAAACGACCGGATGGCTCTTTTACAGACGTTGGTAGGCAGTTACAGAATCTTCTACAGACTCACTTTCCCGGCAGTCTGCTTCTGGAGGACCAGCAGCAAATCCTGCTTCCAATGGAATTGATAAAACCACCAAAAAAGGAGCACTGGAAGAAGGCCTCATAGGCGGTCACCCCAGAGTCAGTGGAATGGGCGGTGAACTATTTCTCCCCATGCAAGTCTCCGGGTGAGGACGGAAATTTTCCTGCCTTCCTACAAAAGGGTAGAAAAGTTTTGCTACCTCTCCTGCTCAAACTATTTCGAGCTAGTTTGGCGTGGAGCTAGGCTGGTCAACAGCGAGGGTTGGTTATATACACAAATCAGGTACGGTGAATCACTCCCTACCCAAATCCTTCCGACCGATCAGCCTTACCTCGTTCCTATTGAAATCTCTAGAAATAATTCTAGACAGGCACATTAGAGAGATGAATTTGAGGAAACATTCCCATCAATAATGCCTACCAAACAGGCGAATCTACGGATTTAGCACTAAACAATCTGGTAGGGAAGATCATTTCCTTAGATCATAAGGAAATTGCGCTGGCAGGTTTCCAGGGCATAGAAGGCGCGTTCAATAATGCCCTACCACAGTCACTCTATATATATGGCGATGCAAGGTAAAGGAATCAGCAGGCAAATATGCAACTGGATCAAAACCATGATTGGAAATCGGTACGTCATATCATCACTGCATGGAGGGTCGATCAGGTTTAGAGCGGCAAAAGGTTGTCCACAGGACGGGGTACTTTCCCCCCCTATGTGGTCATTCCTAGTTGAACCTCTGCTGTCCACGCAGAGGGTGGATTTCCAATGCTATGCAGATGATTTGGTATTATATTAGTAACATGACAATTCGAAGCGAAGATCTCAAACGGCCTTCAAGGAGCCCTTAATACTGTGTACAGATGGTGCTAGAGGGAGCTTCGTCAGATATGGAGGAAGTATTCCGTTTGCGGCACAGGTGAAATATCTAGGTGTCACCCTAGATAAAAAGTCTCACCTGGAATGCCCACATGGCAAAAACTATTAACGAAGCCAGATTTTTCCTCTGTAATCTCAGAAAGGGTATGTGGCAAACCTTAGGGAATGAACCCCAAGATTTACTGGATTTACCAAACAATGGTTAAACCAATGGTCACGTATATGGCTCGGTAGTCTGGTGGACAAAAGGTCTACATAAGACAGCCAGGGCAAAGCTCGCTGGTCTTCAGCGGCTGGCATGCCTGGCCGTTACAGGGGTTATGTCCTCTACTCCAACGGCAGCGATGGAAAACCTCCTGAACCTCACTCCCCTCCACATAGTCCTGGAGAGAGGACCCAGGATGGTTTCCTCTAGATTCCTGTCAATGGAAAATCAAATTGGAGGGGGTTGACTGCTGGACCACTCCGGGATACTGTGTGGAATGAGAAATCACCAAACTCTAGGAATGCTTCCTGACATGTTGGATACTCAGACACACGTAAAAAAGTCTTTCAAAAACCTCTTCTCCGAAGAGAGACGAGTGGGTAAGAGGATCAATCCAATTCCCAGAGACCGAACACGTAATCCCTTGAAGCCGGTGTGTTGAGCAGAAAACCGAAGATGGAAATCTTAGTCAATATCGGTAAGTATGCTGCAATCTCTCAGGCAGATGTCTTCGTAATTGAATTGTGTGCTAGTGAGTTAATGCACTGAGCTCCAGCAAGATAAATCCCGAGTTTGTATAGAACTGTATTGAATCCCTAGAATGCCTGGGTGCTAACAACAGAGTCACTTTGCTGTGGGTGCCTGGACACCAGGGGGTGGAGGGCAATGAGGAAGCCGACATCCTCGCCAAATAGGAAATCGAATCTGTGTTCATAGGACCAGAAAAATACTTTGGGGTCATCGCAAGTGCGGCCAAAACAATTATATATTCCCTGATCAACTGAGATTTTCCAAAGTCATACCAGTACATAAAAAAGGTGACGCCTCAGAAATGGAAAACTATAGAGGCATATGTGTCTTGGACTCTATATCAAAAATAATGGAAAAAGCAGTGTTTGACAGAACGGTAGACTTCTTGGAAAACAATACATTGATAGCACACGATTTTAGGAGCAATTTTTTTCATTGAAACTGCTTCAACCGAAACTATAAACCCACATCATTCAAATGAGAAACTTTTTAAAATGGGCATCAGGGGATCGCTAAACCAATGGTTCAAGTCATATGTGAGAAATAGAAAAATAGTAGTGAAAGTAAATGACCACATATCAGATCCATTTGATGTGGACTTGGGAACTCCGCAAGGGGGAGTACTTGGACCACTGCTGTTATTACTTTACGTAAACGATCTTGGAGAAAATATAACAGTAGGCCGAATTTTTATGTACGCCGATGATACTACCATGATTGTGGCTTCTCCACGAAATGGAAAATAAAATAAAAATAGCTATTGACGAATTCGAAGCTTGGTGTAGATGTAATCATTTGATAAACAACTTGGATAAAACAACGTTCATTCAATTTTAAAACGACTACTATATCGCCCAATTCATCTTGATCCGCGATTAGAATTATCAGATTGTACAAAATTCCTTGGAACACAACTGGATTGTAAATTATCTTTCAACCAACATATTGAATACCTATGCATAAGACTGAAAAAAACGTATTACGCATTTCTCACATTGAAGTCAAATTTCACCAAATCATGATCGTTGGACATTTACTATGCATTGGTATATTCCAAAATGAGTATAAAAATTTCCATTTGGGGACTAGCATCAGATATAAATAGTATCTTCATTATGCAGAAACATTTTTTGCGTCTGATTTTTTATGTCAAATATAGAGAATCTTGCGAAGAAACATTAAAAAACAAGAGTATTCATACACTATACCATGCATTTACCTTATAAAACGCTAAGTTAAAGCCCCTCAAAGAATATCTTCTAACAAGTTGGTTACTCCCTGAGTCTGAAAACCTTTCTTAATATGTATATACTGTACTATTCATGTGCACTTTGTTTGTATTTTGTTTTTTTTTTGTTTTCGACGTGTCACATATACAATTTGTATGAAAAATGACAAAATAAACTTGGACTTATGTCGGACTGAGCGGAGGGAAAAAGACTCACGTACTGGTCTGAATTACTATGATTCATGCCTAAATCATCGAAAAATACAGCCAGGCAGATTCTAGAATGCGAATTCTGACAGGACTGCTTACGGGACACTGTCGTCTAACATATCACCTAGGAAGGATGGGTCAGAACCAACAAGCGGACTGTGGGATCTGGTTTGTGAAATACGGAACGGCTGAACGCATACTATTTTCATGCTCTTGCAGTTTGGCACCTGCAGATTCTGTGAGGAAGAACCAGAAACACCCCATCACATACTGATGGAGTGTGACGCTGTACATCACAAAAGATTGAACATACTGGGAACACACCAGCTGACTTTGGAAGAAATACCACAGCTAGACCCCCTCAAAATCCTCAAATTCCTGAAGGAATTGAATCTCGAGGGGCTGCTATGAACAAGAAATCCTTGATATAGCAAGAGCGGATGGGGCACAATAGATCTAATTAGGTCGCAGCGCATCTGTCACCATCCAACCTACCAATACCAAAATGCTCTTGCTTAGAGAGACTAAGGTTCAACATATTTGGCTTTACCAATTCAGAACCTACAGATTTTTAACAAATCTCACCTAACTAAACCATGAACTGTAAAAGTTACGTATCAAAATGATGTGGATTGTTAACCTCTAGGGGTGACCCATCTGGCGTAGCAGTAGAGGATTAGGAATTTCGAGTTTTTGTTTTTTCCTTTCGATAATACTGGATCAGTTTGAGAATGGATTGGTTTCATGACTCATATATTTATTATAGAGATTGTTTCAAACAAACCTAACCCCCTTGCTAGGGTAGGTAGAACATTGCAAAATAAGTTGGGTTTGCTCTGTGAAAAAATGTCGTAACGTCATCCGTTTTCATGATACAAGGTGTTGAGAAAATGAATTTTTTACACATTTTTCACTATTATTCCGGAACTACTGGCAATAACATTGTGATGAAATTTTGTATGGATGTTTCTTGAAATCTGACACATCGCATGAATTTGTTTTTATATCTGACTCTCATAGAGGGCGCTAGTTACACGGTTCGTACCGAGTAGTTTTGAACGTAACATTTTTGAGGTTAGATTTTTCAATCCAAATATGATATGTACTTGAACATCATTCGATTTTACACCAAAAAGGTACCCCTGGTGAAACTTGATACTATGTTCCGTTTTCGGAATATTTCGATTCGAAAACAATAGAGTAGTAATGATGCCGGAATAAATGAATTTTATTGAGATCAATTACCTATTTATTCAGGTTCAGAAACAATAAAATTATTCTTGTGCTGAAGTTATTGATGGAACAAAGAATTATAAGTAGAAAATCAAGAGATATTTGACTAGAAACATGAAATATTGAATCAGTTAGAGTAAGTGTTCAAAATGTCCTACGTTTCGAGGAATACACGATTCTATATTCTTTTTTCAAGAATGTATTATCCTTCTGAACAGTTGAGGATCAGCTGTTAGGTCATTTAAGTGATGTTCAATTATGTCTCACAACCTATGTTGCATAGACTTGCTGCTCAAGATACAACAAAACTGTGTAATCCATATTCTTAGTCAAATCTGTTTCGATGTTATTCTTGTGATTCATTGTTGAATCAATGAGTTTTGCATCAGAAATGTATTGTTGTTCTCGGTTTTCAATAAATAGGTGAAAATTATTCATAATACTCACTCTAATACATAGCTTTATACCAGCAACAGTTACCAGTTCATCATTTTCAAATAGAAATATTCCGAAAACGGAACACAGTATCGAGTTTTACCAAGAGTACCTTTTTGGTGTGAAATTGAATGATGTTCAAGCTCACATCAAATTTGGATTGAAAAATCTAACCTCAAAAAAGTTATGTTCAAAACTACTCGGTATATACGAACCGTGTAATTAGCGCCCTCTATGAGAGTCAGGTATAAAAACGAATGCATGCGATATGTCAGATTCCAAGAAATATCCATACAAAATGTCCTCACAATGTTGCCAGTAGTTTCAACGAAATCGTGAAAAATGTGTAACAAAAATATTGTTTCAACACCTTGTATCTTGAAAACGGATAACGTTATGACATTTTTTTACTGAGCAAACCCAACTTATTTTGCAATGTTCTACCTACCTTAGCAAAGGGGGTTAGGGTTTTTTGAAACACCCTGTATTATTTTGTTCCCTAATTGGTGATTTTTGTTTCAAATTCTCCAGGAAACTTTCAGTGGAATTCTCTGGACTCGGGCTGATAGACTGGGTGACCAACTCCATGACTTCAGTGGTATCTCTGTTCTTGCATCCAATCATCATTGCAATCATCAACTCGATCGTGAAAGCCCCTTTGAAGGCGATCGTCGAAGCAGTTAATGAAATCATTGTTTGCATTTTGACACCAGCTGAATGTAACAATAGTTATTTTTAAATATCTATATTTAGATGAATAAAGTTATCGAAAAGTATAGTTTCTTTCATTATATAATAAATCGTCTTTATTTTTTCTTTGGTACAAAGTAGGCGAAGTTTAGCTATTGCTACTCTTACACTTAACCTAAATTGTACAATCGACAGAAAATTTAGCTAATACAGACATTCATGAGGTAATAAAGAACATAATCATCGTAAGTCGAAAAAGTAATTTGTCAAAGTATAACTAGGTTATAGAGTTTCAAGTCTTAATTTATATTGGGGATTCACAAAATTTTGCTTTCAGCAATTTCTTGATATTAAATTCAGATAAATGAAGGTGATTGATGAGGAGTGAATTGTAAAATTTTACAGCCTGATAGGTGAAGGATTTCTGGAACATGACTGAACAGTGACGAGGAACATTAAAGTGATGTTTATTTCTCACTTCTAATGAATGTAAAGATGACCTTGGAGTTAATTTACAATAGAGAGATAAAGGAATCCTGTTCTTTATTATTTTATATAGAAAGACACAAAAATTGTATTTAGAACGATTAGCCATTGTAAGCCACTTCAGTTCCCTCATTTTATTGGAAACATGATCGTATTTTTTGAGGGAGAAGATGAATCGACAACAAAAGTTCTGTACTTTCTGAATACGATTCTGATCAAATTTAGTGAGTAAATCACCGTAAACAATATCACCGTAATTGAACCTAGACAGGACAAGTGATTCACTCAGCAATTTCCGTATGGGTTGATTGAGGTAGTGCCTATGTGGATAGATCATTTTCAAAGAGCTGAATGATTTTTTGAGCAGACTATTAATATGTAAAGTGAATTTTAGATCGGAGTCAAAGATAATACCCAGGTTTTTCGTGGATTCCACAATAGATAGAGGGGTGTCGTCTATTTCAATAGATATATCTTGTGAGAGGCGCATTCTTAAATTTTTGTTACCAAATAATATGAAATGACATTTGCTTTTATTGAGTTTTAAGTTATGTTTATCAGCTAGGTCGTTTATTATTCTGAGGTCACTGTTGATGTGGTTTTGAACAGATTGAAAGTTTTCCATATTGAGGTTTGAGTAAATCTGGGTATCATCTGCGTATGCTTGAATTTTGCAATATTTAATAGAGGTTAGGATATCGCTCGTATATAAGATGAAGAGGAGCGGCCCCAGAATAGACCCCTGAGGTACGCCGGAAGTTACAATTTGAGAAGTTGACATAACATTGTTAATAGAGACTTTCTGGCTGCGATTCGAGAGGTAAGAGTTGATGAAGAATATGGTGTCGTCAGAGAAACCCAAGTATTTTAGTTTGTAACAGAGTAATGTGTGGTTGATCGTATCGAAGGCCTTCGAGAAATCGAGGGTAATTAAAGCTGTTATGTCTTTACTATCTGTATTTCTAACGATATCATCAGTAACCTGTACTAAAGCTGATGTCGTATTGTAGCCTGCATTTTAATATTGTGCAGGGTGGCTGGAATTCGATCTCGTAAGCCGTAAGAGATACAGGGTAGTTTAAGTCATGGCATGGCAAAGTTGCGCAATAATTTTGTAGACTTTACTCAAGATCACTCCTGTGGGATAGAAGGGATAATAATAACCATAATAATATGTATTTGCTGGATAATAGTCAGAATATAATAGCGACTACATTGAATAAAACACAGTCATTAATTTGATAGGTATACACTAACACGTAGCATATATATGAATTCAGTCATGATAGAATGCTGAAAAATACCTAACCTTACCTGACATATTGTGCAGTGAGTATTAACTGATCTATCAATATATCGAATCTTTGATTTATTTAAGGCGAAATATTGAAATATATGTTGGGTGTCTTAGATGATGTTCAAGACCTTCCCAATATTGCAAATTTGATAACAAAAACTCGGAAATATTTAGCTGAAAATTGCGAAAAGTTAGTGAAATGAACAACTTGAACTATACTAGTACCGAAAGGGTTTGTTTCTAATGGTAAACATAAAAGAGGGCAAAATTATATGTTGTCACGGGATATCACCATAGCACCATAAAACTATTGGAGTCTCATATAAGCCCAATATTCATGTTATGAGATCGATCATTGAATCATATAATTCCTTGATGTCCTGATCCATCATATAGGCAATAATGTTACATACTCTAAATCACAAAGACAAAAACTCACCGACTATCTAATGGAATTTTTGATTGATGACCACATTGACCGAACTTCAAATGGTAACGTTTTTTTTAAACCAAGGCCGACCGATCCAAGATCACTTCGCCAGGGCTCTTTGATGGTCGATGCGGTTCAATAAGGATATAACGTATAACCTCAAAACAATCAAATTACTCAAAAAATGGGAAAGGGTACTACAGTCTTCCGTCCGGGACAGTCTGCCAAATTGGATTTAGAATAATGTCACAATGTTTTCCGAGTTGCTCTCAACGAGTCCTTCCATTTGATACCCACCCAGGCAACCAGATGACGAATGATCACGTCACTGTGACGTCCCTAATTGGTGATTTTTCGTCAGAGACGTCACACACCAATTTATGACGTCACTATGACATACTTTCTATGACGTGATAATCACGTCATCGTTTCGACGTCGAGTGAACGTCACTTGGATGGGTAAAAGAAGACGTCAGTTTCATGACGTTGCAGCGACGTCCATTTTTCCCCGACTTTCTCTAAACCATGGATACTTATATATCATCATGTGAAACAGAAGTATAAATGATGAAAGCGAATCAAAATGCAAATTTTATTCTAATTATTAATATAAACGAAAAGTAGTAGAACAACTTTTTTCTAAAAAACTTTGACACATTGTATATCTCGGAAACCAACAAGTTATGTATATATAAAAATGATTGTTCAGGTATACCTATATTGAAACCGTTACTCTTATGACGTTGCAGTGACGTATCTATGACGTCTAAAAATACGTCGGTGTGACGAACCAATTTGGTAAGCATCGTCATTTAGGAAAATTTTCAATAGTAATTACTATTTAGATTTTTGTTGGGTGACAAAGAATGCATCAATATTCATTATTCAACAAAGTGAAGCCAAATTCGCCAACATCCTTTCCATTGTTATCAGACTATTCTTCGTCTTTTTTACGTATCATCGACAAATTCAATCGTCATTTTGACGTCATTATGGCGTCAGTCAGACGTCACAGTTTAGTGAGTGAATGACGTCAATACGACGTGAGTAATATGACGTCATTGGGCTGTGACCTTTATCACGTTAATGCGACGTCAACTACTGACGTCACCTTGGTCATTCAAGTGACGTAAAAAAGACGTCACTGGAACGTCATCTGGTTGCCTGGGCATATTGTAGAAGTGCATTAAAAATAACTATTTCGCCATCTTGGATGGCCCGCCATATGGGATCCGGAATAACGTCACATTATTTTTCGATTTTCTCTCAACAAGTCCTTTCATTTTATACCCATATAATAAAAATAGATAAAAAATAACTACTTAGCCATCGAAAAAGCATTACATCACTGGGTGATTCACTTATTACTTGGGGGAGTGTATAATCTCTGCTTGGGTGGGTCACACGTTTTAGATTCAAGGGAGGTCTCTGCCTCTACTCTAAAACGAATCTCTCATGTCAACGAGAAAAAACTTTGGAACCAAACAAGTTTGATGTCATGTGGTTCAAACTCGATAGCCAGAAACAGACCAAATACCTATGTTGTCTCTACTTATCACCAAATGATCCATCCTATGAAGAGCTCTTCGAATTCTTGTCTCTGAAGCTTGACCAAATCCAACAGAACCATCCAGCAGCAGAAATCATCATCATGGGCGATTTCAATGTACACAACACTGCTTGGCTCGTACACTCTAACAGAACGGATGAAGCTGGGCGACAAGCCGAAGCTTTCGCCATCACTCACGGCTTAGAGCAGCTTATCAAAGAACCCACACGAATTCCCGATGTCAATAACCATTCAGCTAACATATACTTGACTTATTCCTCACTAATAATTCAGCACCCTACACCATAGATGTACGAGCTCCACTTGGCAATTCTGACCATACACTCATCTCCACAACCTGCCCATTTTTCATTCCATCAACTGCTCCGGCACCCCCACGTCTTATATGGCATTACAATTCAGGAGATTGGGACGGTCTCCGCATGTTTTTCTCCGAGTTTCCTTGGCATAGAGTATGCTTTGACTCTGAGGATCCTTCACAGTGTGCTGCGGAAATATCCGAGATCATCATGCTCGGAATGGACACATACATACCTCATTTTTCGAAAAGATCATCACCTTCGAAACCCTGGTTCAACAAAAACTGTTCTAGAACCGTTGCCTTGAAACAAACAGCCTACCATCGCTGGCGCAAAAACCCTAACCTCGCGACTAGAGCAGAATACGTTGATGCCAGGAATAACTGCAGCCAAACAATAGATTCTTCGAAAGAAACATACAATGCCAAGATAAGATCGAAACTCATAGATTGCCCCAATGGCTCTCGTTCGTTTTGGTCCCTTGCTAAAGCGGTCGGAAGAAATTTCACTAATAGTTCATTTCCACCACTGTCCAAATCCGACGGCACGTTAGCAACAACATCGCAGGAGAAAGCAAATATTTTTGCAGAGATGTTCGCAGCAAACTCTACTTTAGATTCCCAAGGAAAACTGCCGCCAGACATTCCACCCGTTGAGAGTCGAATGCCCGAAATCGTCTTCCGTCAACGCACTATCAGACGAATTTTGCTTGGTCTCAAAACGAATAAGGCTAACGGTCCTGATGGAATTCCACCCATTATCCTCAAAAAATGTGCACCAGAATTAACACCGATTCTCTGCAAGTTGTTTACCATCTCGTACAGGTCGGGTATTTTTCCATCATGCTGGAAGACAGCTAGAGTCCAACCAATCCCCAAAAAAGGGAACAAGAACCTGCCCAACAACTACAGGCCCATTGCCCTGTTATCAGTAATCTCCAAAGTGATGGAGAAAGCCATCAATATTGAGCTTATCAAATATCTGGAGAGCTCAGGAATCATCAATGATAGAT